GACTTCGGCAAAGAAATCAGGATGGCTTGGAGACTCCATTGGCAAAGAAGAAAGAAAAGGGGGGGAAAAGGCAAAGGCAATCAAACAATCAAAACAAGCTAAAGCAAAAGCAAAAAACACAATCTGAATCAAACTGTCAAGACCCCCAACAAGTGTAAGTGACTAATTTTTTCATTCTACTTTAGTCACTTAACCACACCTCTGACCACTTGGAGGAGTCTCACTCACAACCTCCATAAGTCCTATTCCGGACTTGGGCATGCTAGCCCCGAGAATGGCATCCCCGCCACTCAACCTTTGCATTTGGCCCAAGTGCTCCACATGTCCGATCTCATGACCGACACCCCAAGGTACCACTGACATATCAACTTGTTACGCTAAGGCCATGCCCCTTTACCTTGGTCACACTAGTAGTCTAACACCACCTATATCATAGTCCTGTCTCTCAAAGATTGAGCCATCTATCTATAAGTGATCATCCCAGATCCACTTCTTAGCATCCTTAGGATGCCTGCAAACATGAGGAATAGCCTTCCCTAATATCCCTTTTCCAGTCCCCACCAAGTCCCTTTTTGCCTATGGCCGTGTTCGCCAACACTGCCACTAGATCAAGGCCCACAGGCCCGACCATTAAGTCCCACGGTCTTATGAAACTTCCTCACCACACGGCTGTATTCTTGGTCACTACATCAGAGGAGTACTCCTCTTCCTTTCTACAGTCTGGGCCTTTGGGACAATATTTCGGAACACCATGGCCCTACACGAGCCTCATGGGTACTCTCCCTGCCTTTTGCCTTTGGGTGCTATAGCCATGGGCTTTGAGCAAGGTTCTGTTGAGCCACGCCAGGTATCCAAGTAGGTAGTGCCACCCACACTTGAACTGGGAGCATTGACCATTCGATTTCCTGGGGGAACTAGAGCCAGCTCTTGAACACTTCACCAACCTACCCCGTTTGTCGGTCCGTATTCACTTTAGTCTTGGACTTTCCAGTAGTCAACTCATCACCCAACACTGGGTATGGCCTTCCTTGGCCAAACTGGCTCCACTGGGCTCCAACCCCCACACTCTCCCTACTATACTTTTGGAACCCCCCGCAGCCCCCCCCCCCCGGGGGACGATTGCTTTGGGCTTTCACCCAACAGCATGTATTAGTATTCGGACTCGGACTCGGTCCCAGTCCCGGTTTCGAACTCGAACTCGGACTCGGTCTCGGTCTCGGTCTCGGTTCCATCTCAAACTCCATCTCAGAGTCCATCTCGGATCTATCTTGGACTTCATCCCGGATCCATCTCAGACTCCATCTCGGGTCCATCTTGGATTCCATCTCGGACTCCATCTTGGGTTCATTTCGGGTCCATCTCGGACTCCATCTCGGACTCTATCTCAGACTCCATCTTGAGTCCATCTCGGACTCCATCTCGGGTTCATCTCAGACTCCATCTCAGACTCCATCTCGAACTCCATCTCGGGTCCCTTTTTGGAGCCTCGCTTATTACTCACTTCATGCTCATTCCTTGAGCACTTTTGTTGGGAGTTCCACTCCCGCTCTCAACCTTTCAAGTTGAAGTTTTTGGTCCAAACGTGTTACGTTCGTTTGGCTTTCGCTTTGGCCACTACCTCGTGGCACCCTTCCGGCTCCACTTTGGGGCCTAGGGATTTTGTGTCTCACAACAAGATCAAGACTAGAAAATGCAGAAGACAAAGAGAAAAACTAGTGGAAACAAAGAAGAGGCCTTAGATTGGTGTTGATTTAGATTGTGGAGAAATGGAACAAGGCTAACTTATATATACTATAAGTTGATGAAGCTCCACCACTCTTAGATCGAGGATGGCCTAAATATAGCTGAGGTCAAAGAGGCACCACATCATCATCAAAAATGTGGTTTGAGATTCAAGAATCATACGAGAAATCAGAGAGTTATGAATAAGGAAGTGTCTCAAGAGTCAGGAATATGGTCTATAGGTCAGAAATCCGGCGAGACTCAGGAATGTGACAAGAATTGGGGGATTCCTAACAAGATTCATGTGCTTTGATAAAATATTTATGGAGGTATGAAAGTACTGACAATGAGTTATAGGGCATAATAATTACCCGACATGAAGTCTCAAGAAGTTAGTTTCCACTATTTCGACTAATTACAATTCATGTAAGTCAGTGTTTTGGCTGCTGGTGATGCTCCTGTAAGAATGTTGAAGATCTGAAATCTACAGTGTTTAGTTGCCTCAATAAAAAGTTTAGATACATCCCTTAAGGGAGAACATATTTATGTTGATATATAATGAGTCAGTATTATAATAGGAAATGCTTATTGTCTAGAAAGTCTGTCATTGAAACAAATAAGCAGCACGATCCATTGGCTGCCCATGTTGCAAGTGGGAATTGGGATGAGGTGCTAAGCATCTAAAAAATAAGAAATTGAAGAAAGAACTTGGAAAAAGCTGAAGAGTAGTGAGTTCATGATCACCACTTGTGATCATGGAGGAGATTTATGTTGAGCTCTAGCAACTGAAATAGCCTTCAATCTCTAGAGGATGATAATGTGGGCAAAAGGGATCTAGTGTGCTGCCATGGCAATAGCATTTTAGTTGTTGATTCATTTATGTTACTATATAAGCTAATTTAAGATATGTGATGAGAAAAATTATTCATATTTAATGTAAGTTTCGTTTATGGACGTGTGCAAAAAGTCTCAAACATATTTGTTATATTAATATTTCAATGTGTGAGGGCCAAGTGTCACAAATGTAGATTATTTTAAATTATAGCATATGCTAATGATTTAGTGAATAATATAGTGCAAAACACATTTTTAATAAATTGTTATGCATTGCATGTAGCAACGTTTGGTTTGCTTAATAGTAGTGTTATTCTTACTTATTAATCCAAATGATCAAATAAGTTTAAAATTATAAGCATATTTGTAATTTATAAGCACAAGATTAATCTAATTGCATATCAACACTGATAGAATAAAAAAGAATACACTAGAAAGGTTTTAAGAAAGTTTTTAAGTTATAAAGATGTTTATAAATTATAAATACAAAATTAATCTAAATAAATAACAATTTTTAAATGGTAGAATATTCTAAAATATTTAAGCATGTTCTAGGTATATTCACTACCATCTCAATCCCCCTACAGGTTTGCTTAAGCAAACCAAAATGAAGCTTTAGATGTTATTACTTCTTACACTGCATTATAACAATATAGTTTGAAAGGATATAAAAATTCTTATTGCAATAAATTAGTTTTAAATTTTATTTTATTTCTTAGTTTGCTATATTATTCACCCTAAATTATGAAAACATAATTTTATTATTTTTCCAAGTAACTAAAACCTTTACTCATGGTTTTCTGCCATAAATAAAAATTAAAAATAAAAAAAATCCTCAAAAATTCAAGAACTCACTTTCTTCCCTTTCAATTTATCTGCCTGTAGATTAATGTATGATAATGATTATTCTAAGACACTCTACCTTCTTTGGAAGAAAAAAAAACGAAATGAAATCTCTCATCTTTAGAAATAAAGAAAATAACATATTCCATCTTCTTTATTTAAAATTCACCTAATTGAAACCCAAGCATACAGGAAAAGAAGGGAGGCTCCTATTATCTTGAAAGTTTAAAGAATCTTTAATTGAGAGCATTATGAAACATTTCTTTAGCTACAATACATCAATAACTTGCAATTGTAACAATGCCTCAATAAGATTTTCCAAACTCCAAACAAGCTGCATTAACAACAATTATGAAGTAAATAGGGCCTATTGCTAAAAAAAATTTACCTCTAACAATAATCAAAAATAGCTGACCTTACCCCGTCAAAAACCTAATGCTAGATACATTAAAACAGATTCTAAAATTGCAAAAAACCCTAAACTCGTTTCAAGGGAAGGTAGACTGGTAAATCTTTTCTGCAAGTATAAAATAAATATTTCCCATTCGGAAGACATTTTTACCATTGAGAGATTTTCCCATCGGGAAAATTAGTCTGGGAAAATTCATCTTTATTGGGAAATTTATTATTTACATGATCCCCAATATATACTAAAATCAATCAATCCATATCAAGACTTCAAATTTTATTATAAATCAGAATAGATTATTTTGGTGTCCCAAAACAACTAGTAGAACTTAGCATGAAATTCTTCCCAAACCACTAGTTCAAGCTATTTTGACCGTTAATTGACTAGAAGATACTCTTCACAAGTCCAAAAGAAAGAACAAAAGAAACCTAAATTAATAAAGGTAGGTAGATGGGCGAGCTATGGAAGCCATGGTGATCAGGAAATTGGTAATAGCTCTTGTGATGGCGGTGTATAGGATTCTTGCGGTTCGATCGGGCCAGTCCAGCAGCGGCAGCATTGTCAGCCCCGATTCCATGTTTGCATTTGGGGATTCTTTGAGCGACACCGGAAACGATGCCTCGGCGTTCCCTGGATCAAAGCCCTCGCTCCATTACGGCCAGACTTTCTTCCGCAAGTTTGCTGGCCGGGCCTCGGATGGGAGGCTTCTCATTGATTTCTTGGGTCAGTTCTTTCGATCTTCCTTTCCAAGTGAATTTCTTTTCAAGTTCTTGTTCTTTCTCCGAAACTTTTAGCGCAAGCATTTGGTCTTCCATTCCTTAGCCCCTACTTGCAAGATTTCAATGCGGACTATCGGCATGGAGTCAACTTCGCGGCTAGAGGAGCCACTGCTCGCAGCACCTCGATCGTGACACCGTTTTTTCTTAGTGTTCAAGTCAGCCAGATGATCCACTTTCGCGAAGCTGTTCTTGCTGCTCCACAAGGTTCCAGTGGTAAACTTTTGTTTGGCTCTTGCTAAGCTTTTGCTCGCAGCCACTCCACTCCTCCCAAACTCGACTGTGTTCTCCACGGCGCTCTACGTGATCTACATTGGGATCAACGATTTCTGGCAAAATCTAAACAACAATCGCATGACCATCCAGCAGATAAACTCGACCGTGGTTCCCCAGTTGATACAAACAGTACCCAAAGCTTTGGAGGTAGCAATTCTTCTTCTTCTTCTTCTTCTTTATATGTAACAATGAGATGATCTTTCTCACGTCTTTCTCTTAAGGCACAAGCAGAGGCTCTACCACGACGTTGGCGCGAGAAAGTTTCTTATTGTCACTGTTCCTGCCGTGGGATGCCTTCCAGTCGTCTTGAGTGAGTTTGGATCCTCCAGTCCGGAAGATTACGATGCCAGTGGCTGCTTGCGAGCTTTCGACGATGTCGTGGGGTCGTACAACGCACGGCTGCGCTCTCTGGCTCTCGGTTTCGCGGGGAAGTTTGCTCAAGCTCGAGTTTTCTTTGGAGATATCTTCGCGGTTCACAAGGATGTGATTGCCAATCCCGAGCTTCACGGTACGTTGTGCTGATCGAGCTTTGTTGATCTTTCTCGCGGCAGGATTTGCGCCAAGCTCGAAGTTGAGTGCTTGCTGCGGTGGCGGCGGCAAACTCCATGAAGCCGTGAAGCAGTGCGGGGTGATTGCCACGCCGGTTTGCGAGTCCCCGTCCTCCTACATCAGCTGGGACGGGATCCATTTCACTGACGCGTTCAATCGCGTTGCCGCTGCCAGTATCCTTGGATCGATTCCATCGATTTAGATAGAGCATTCTTGTTGGAAAAACATGGAGCGTTCGCGTAAAGCTGTTTGTATCAGTTGTCTGGCGACAGAAACACGCATGGATCAGAGCTAGATTGAAAGGAAAGAAAGAACTTTGCAAGAGTAAGTACCAAGAATGCCACACTGCGAAATGACAATCTTTGCGTATGGTCGATTGAATCCCCTCTCAGCAACCACTGCTCGGGTATCGCCTATAAGCTTGGCAGTGCTGTGGGGATCCGAGATGAGATTTTTCCCAAGGAACGAAGAGAAGAAAATACATACCGGAAGTAAAGATTGCTCGTGTTATCTTTGACCACCCTGGTACTCGCGATCTTCCGGACAACGTCCAGGCCTTCTACCACCCGGCCTACCACCGAATTCGTTGGATCAAGCTCCGGAGCATCCTCAAAGGCAATGCAAAACTCAGTCCCGTTTGGATCCGGCCGTGACTCTTCGTACACGACTTCAAACTTCCCGTCGCGAGCTATAAGTTTCGGCTTTGCTGGAGGCTTTGTGGCATCTATGGCCACGATCGAAACCGCACCTTTCACGTTCTTCGGCCGTTTCCCTGTCTCGTCTAGCGTTTTCATCTCGCTGGCTAGAGCTTTAGCGTCTAGACCACCTGCGAATTGAGCTGTATCCTTGGCTCTACCGCTCAGGCTGAAGGTCCTGAGGCCTCCATTCTGTATGTAGTTCCCTGTTATCTTGTAAAAATCTCGCTTCCTATAACTCACTCCCTTCTGACCAGCCGCAATCTCTCCAAAGCGTCTGGCGCCCACTGGTACGTCGTCTTCGTAGAGTCCAACGACGACGCGGCCTGCCGGTTCTCCATCGATGCTGATGTCCAGAAACACTTTGCGTGTCACAGTTGGACACGGCTCTTCGTCAGCGAAAGCAAAATTGTCAAAAGTACCGTGCAATGCCCCTAGTGTATACACTGCCTGAGCAACAAAGCTGCGTTTTCCAGTTGAGAAACTTAAGAAAGGCTTTTCATTCTCTTTTGCTCCAGCGGATTTCCTATATACAATGTCAGTATAATAAATATCAAGAAACTACACACCCGCGTTCTTTCGCTTTTCTCTAGCATGCAATGTAAATAGCATACCTTCTGCGACACTAATAACCCTTTCTAATGTGTTTATACCGACCACATAACTATGAACGGGTTGCTGAATCATGCTCTATCGAAAGCAGAATTCATCTGCCAAAACCGAAAAGGTACTTAGTACCTGTTGAAATGTATGCATATGCATGGTAACTTCAGCACCTAGAGATGGAATAATTCTTACCTTCGAGAAAATGGAAGCGAGAGAATCGCTAGAACAACCTTGACAACCTTTTCAGGAATTCCACTGAAATTAAACATGTCAATAAGGGAAGCAACAAGCAATTTAGCTCAATACCTTTTTTTCTCATCTAGCGCTTTCACTTCGGATTTCTTCGTGGCGTCCGATTCAACCCTGCAGAAGAGGCTATTTAGTAGCTGTTGAAAAATGTGTTTACATTTTGACCACTGCCCATACGCGCAAAACAAACTTACCGGACTTTGCTTTTGCTACAAATATACGAACAAGCAACCACAACATGGAGTTTAAGTTTCGCGCATTACTTCTCGTCAAAATCATAAATGCAAGATCCATTGTCACTCCTTGCGGTTGGGTCATAGTTCGCTGCATTGGGATCCGCGCACCCTTCAGGCACTGGAATGTTAACCTGTTGTGCGGCCTTTCCTGAATCAATAATACACAGAGGTCCAGCAGAGGATAAGAACAAACAAGTAGTTACCGTAAATGTTGGATTTATCGGCGACGGAAATTTTGGGTTTAGAAGCTTCAGCAGAAAAGTCATATTCGCAAGTTCCATCATCGCTTCTTGCAGTCGGATCGAAATTAGCAGCATTGGGATCGGTACAGCCCTCAGGAACTGGAAGATTGATTTGCTGTGCAGCTTTTCCTGAAAAAAAAATGGTTAACAATCTCTCAGGTGTTTTAGAAAACGTACCATATAAATTATCTTTTTCAGCTTTTTGACCTTCGGAAAAATCATAAACACAAGTTCCATCATCGCTTCTTGCCGTTGGATCGAAGTTTATAGCATTGGAATCCGTACATCCCTCCGGCACTGGAAGATTAATCTGTTGTGCAGCCTTGCCTGGTAGAAATGTTCAAGCAAGCAAATAAAAGAAAAACGCACGAGCTTAAATGCTTACCATACAAATTGTCTTGTTTCAAAGAACTCGTTGCGGGAGTTTTCTCAGCAAAATCATATTCACAAGTTCCGTCATCACTTCTGGCCGTAGGATCGAAGTTTCTTGCGAAGGGATCAGCGCAGCCTTCTGGAACTGGAAGCTTGACCGCTTGGGCAGCTTTGCCTGCAGTTAAAATGTTCCTCTAAGAAAAGAGAAAGAACGGCGAGTTTTTCTTTTTTACCGTAGAAGGTATCCTTCTCCCTTTCATCCTCATTTGCATCACCCAAGGAACTCCCCTTCATATACTTATCAGCCAGATGATATCGCTTCACATTCTCCTGCTCTTGAACAAGCATATTTCCATATTCGAGTAGCTTGTCAATCGTCATGGGAGGCTTTGGAAAAGTCGGGGGACCATCCTTAGAGTTGACCAGCTTCGGGCCTATATTTTCCACCCCAACCTGGGTAATCCACTTTCTAACCTCGTCATCGTAGACTCGGGCCCTCAGAGCACCAAAGAAGTCTGTTTCACTTCACGTTAGTCACAAAAGAATGCAATGCCTATAACAGTACTCTTCTTACCTATAGATTGTCCTGGAAAGGTGTCCACAAGTTTAACGATGTCCTCATCAGGTACGTCGTCAGTTCTGAAAATGCCTTTACAAACGCCAATCCTGTCCTCCCTCGTAGGCGCCCAGTAGAACTTCTCCATGCGACCGTCACGGATCAAAGGTGCATACAAAGTCGAGAAATCGTTTCCAGTCACAATGATCGGAACTCGGGGTAACTCCTCCTTGGTGTAAATTCCAGGCAGTTGGACGTTGGTTGGATTGTCCGCGATGTTCATCAGTGTTGCATTTACCATCTGGTTGTTGACGGTGTACTGCGTAGTCCCTCCCATTCTTCCAGCACCGGCATCCAGGTCGTTGATAAACAAGACGCACATTTGGCCTTTCTTCTTGATAATATCAGCTGCTTCCCGATATCTCTGTCGGATTAGCTTTGCAGGTTCTCCAGCATTACCGCTCTCGAGCTCTCCAGCGCTCATTGCAATGGGACTGGGGTATAGTCACAGAAAACCCAATCAGTTATAGAGTCATCTCGCTTTTACCACCTTACTTGATTCCTAGTTTGGAAAACACCAATTCGCACTGAAATGATTTTCCTTGTCCTTTGCCTCCCCAAACACCGAGGATAAGAGGAACCTGGAAATGGTTTTCCAATTAGCAAGCAAGCCAGCAGACCATTGGAAGCTACTCCCACCTTAATATTCGGAAGAGCCATGAAATTCTTGGAAATGTGAATGACGAGCTTGTCCATGAACGCTGGAGCGATGTATAACCCATCGATGGTGTTATCCATAGAGTAGCTGAAAATTCCAGTCTAAGATGGAAAAATCCGAGCGAAAGAGAAGAACAAAGAAAGAAACTTACACGCGCTGAGCGGTGTTGAGGTACTCGAGACTCGACATAACGGCAGTCTGCGTTCCTCCTCCTTGAGGGCCTTGATACAACGAATCCACCATCCCCTTTCCTCTCGTAATATCCTGCTGATCATCCGACGTATCGGTCCCCAGGCCTTGCCATCGATCGGTTTTGCTCTGGGAGGATTCATCCACTTGGCAGACTACACGACCTTTAGCCCGGAAATTCCCCGCGCGAGCACTAAAATCATGCTGATGCACGACGCTGCCATGAAATGCCGATGAGAGTGGCGATCTTGCGCCGATTGGATGCGCGGATGCCTGAATTCCATGGAAATTTCGTCAGTGCGTAGAGATTTCTAGAGAATGATAGCGCAAGTTACCTGCACTAGGAGCTGCATTGACGCTGCCATTGCTTGATCGAGGAGCCCAGCTCGGCTTACAAACAGAGTGTTGCCCTACGGATTATTCGTTCTCAACGGCTACAGTCGTGCCACGTATGAGGGGCTTATCCCAAGGGAAAGCACTAGAATGCGCCACGTGGACGGATTTTTATCCCATGTTTTCCCTCCAAAATTTCAAGGCTTAGGGTTCTAATGTTTTAATGGCGATGGCTTTGGCCTGCCGCTTTCCTTCTTGGCTCGTAGCTCCGCGCTGTTGCTCGCCATGGAATCGATCTGGATTCTCCTCTTTTTCGCTTTCGCTGCATCCTTCCATTGGCAGCGATTGCATTTCCAGAATTTTGCGCTTGAACAGGAACTGTGAGCGGTGGAGGAATCGCGCAGCTGTGGACGCAGCGAGCGGATACGATCCACGGGACGGGGTCGCGGTGTACAAGCCGGCGTCCTATGACGTTCTTGTGAATGGTGAGTTGTTTCGATGAAGAAGAAATTGTTTTACCAAGCTCTGAATTTACAGATGCCGTGGATGCGACATTTTTCGCTCTCGATGAGGGAAACAATAGACTGGAGATTGAATTCCCGTAAGTGTTTTGTTCTTCCAATTATACGATTGAGAGATAGATTTTTCCATCCAGGCCGCTGCCAAACGAAATTTCCAGCTACAAGGTATGTTGGATCATTTGAAGGGGTTTCCAAAGAAGAAAAAAAGAGGCAGACAAAGAGAAGAATAAAAAGATTTCTGGCTAACAACAATGTTTCGCAGGGATCATCAGATGACTTTATCGACGCAAATATACAGCTAGCTTTGGCTTTTGCGAACAAGCTAAACGCAGCGAGAGGCATCGTTACCAAGATAGTAAGGTCGCGTTCTGTGCTCGTGCGTTTTCTAAAGTGGAGTCTATTTATCTAGGTGTTTCCAGATAACGTGGAGAAGAGAAGAGCTTCCAGGGTTTTTCGATCAGCTTTTGATCTCGTAAGCAACTTTTATATGTTGCCAGACTAGAGCATATTTTTGTGTGCTACTCAGAGTAAAGGGATAAGCCTCGGCTGCCTGGATGATGTTCCAGGAGGCAATGGCTTTCTAAAAGCATTAAGAGGCGCGTTCGAGCTGGACTTTCAAGAAGATGTGTCGGGAAAATGGCAAACTTCTTCTCCTCCGTCTATGTATGTCGTGGTGAATTGTAGCGGCAATGAGCTCCCGGATCTTCAGAAGTATATGGTGAGGGCTGTGCTTCTGGTTTTATGCGCAACTTCCTTCACGGTTTTCTATGCAATGCAGGATGCCGTCGTGGGAAGTGCTTCTATAGTTTTGTTCAACTTACAGCTAGATAAGTTAAGGTACGAGAAATGTTTAAAACGTTGAGAACTTCCGTGCTAAGGACCGCGACAGGTCAGATCTTGGCCTGTTTGGATTTCCAGGCAAGGACTTGCAGTACGAGTTTCTGTCGCAGTTCCTCCCCGCCTTCTACATTCGCACCAGAGATTACTCCAAGGTAAAGTAATGTTCTCTCGAAAATCTAATGATGGTAAGAAGATAACGCTCACAGAACGTGCCTTTTGCACCTTTCATCGTTAATTACAGTGGAGCACTACTGAGACGTTATCCTGGTATGCCATCGCTCTTAATCTTGTGTTTGCCACATTAAGGCTTGGTTTTGTTTGACTCAGGACCATGGCAAGTCATGATTAAACAAGCGAATGGTGTATATGCTTGCGTAGCTGAGAACAGACAGCGGTTTACGCTAGGACAAGTATTGCCTCTAACGTACATAGCATTCGTCTGATCTGGATAAATCGTGCAGGCCAAAGAAGAACTTTTGCGATCTCTTGGACTCCAAGAAAAAGAAGGCAGCAACCTAGAGTTCTTGCGTAGAGGTTACAAGGTAAGCCTAGTAGTTGCTTAAACGAAACACTAGAAAAGCTTTCCTTTCGTGTCAATTAGACGTCGACATGGTGGGAGGATGATGCAGCTCTCGAGAAATCATCGGCATGGAGAAGCTAGTTTCCTTCTTGTGGACGGAAGCATGTAAATTAAGGTAACATGTTGACTCATTTTGATCTCATCTCTTGCCTCTTTTATCCTGAGGTGCTACATAGCTTCGTCAGACTTGGTGCGTTGGAATTAGGACGTTCCAGCTTTTAAGAAGTTGAGGTATGTACTTTCTTTCTTCCAATAGTCAATCACCAGAGAAAGACTATGACAGGTCAGCCTTGGGATTATTTGTAACTGTAGCGGCCTACCAAGGAATTCCAATGTTTCTTTCGCCGCTAGATTAGATTCTAGGCGACTGGACCACCATTTACGCTTCAAAAACGTAGCTTTTCTTCCTCTCGCACGCTGGCTAATCTCTAGTGTTTGTTTTGCAAAAGGATGGACAGAGCTCTCGCTGCGATTCTATTTGCCGCCGTTGAGTGGCAAGTCATGATCAAAGGAAACGAATGGTGAGGACAGACAGCGTTTTACACTAGAACAGGTATCTCGCTATAAAAATTACCCACATCCTGTCTAATCCGTGCTAAACGAGCAGACAAAAGAGGCACTGCGCGCGTGGACTGCTGCGAGACAAGGAAGGAAGCATTTTGAAAATCTCCGCAGATGGTAATGGCTTACAAGGTAGGCCACGATCGCTAGTAACTTGTCTTGTCATCGGTCCCGGGAAATATAGAAAACGCGAAAGAGACTAATTTTCTGTGCTTGGTTTTGTAGGCACGAACGTGGTGGGATCTGGATGGAATGGATGGGAGCTGTGTGCTGTTGCCTGCCCAAGATCTTTGATTGATTGATCGTTCGTACCCTGTTGCGCTCTCCGGCAATCAAGTCTGGATCAATGAAGCTCGATCGAGAGGCCCAGAAAAAGCTTGCTCCAATGGATGGATGTACTTACCATGGGTAAGTGTAAACAAGCTCTTCTTTTCTATGCTTTTCTCGTCGGGAGACTAAAACTCTTTGCTTTTGGCGCTATAAATGCAGGTACTTGCTCTTGCGGGACGTCACAAACTCGGGGAGCCTTGGATCTCGATGACAATGCCAGTGCGCGAGTGACTCGATCGATCGGTGTCTCTCTCGTGCTAATGTACCTTGGATCTAAATCCTCGCGAGAGGCAGGCACCACAAACATACATTTTCTTGCAATTTTCAAAGCGGGCTTGGCATGTGGTGGCGAGGATTGCTCCCATATTCTATTCGTCAATGCTGGGCGGATTGTTTACTTGTTTTAAGCGATCAAGGGCAGAGTATGACAGGGACGCACTAGAAAAAAATTTGGCGGTGCTGGTACCACCTTTGTTGCTAATCCTGTGTTACCTGGATGTTGACTTCTTGGTTTCCTTTGAATGAATTTCATAACCCACAAGCAACAGAGGTCACTGCTAGTAATTGTGGTGGTGGTAAGCGGTAGCGTTTCGTTTGGGGGCGGCATATTCCAAATCCAAAACCCAAGTGTGCACTCATTCAAGTTTCTTAACTGGTTAAAGTCAACTAATGCCAACAAAAGGATGTAACGTAAGGGCGAGAAACTAAAGTAATCAAACCATGGAAAAATCTTCCATGGTAAAAATCGATCGCATTTTGGTATAAAGGGATTTCTAAAAGCGCATCCAGTCGCTGTCGATCATCGTTCCCACAGCCACCATTTGGACAAAGCCAACAACAATCATCATGCTTCCAAACAAGTAGCTACATTGGTTAGTCCTTTGCGAGATCCTGTCCGTCGGCGCCGCCGTGGCGCGCCCGGCGCCGTCCACCTGGCGCCATCCCCGCCGTTGGGAGCGCACGGGCCCCGATAGCACCACGACCGCATGTGAACTGCCACCACTACCGCGCGCGGTGTGGCTCTTACACGGTCCGCCATAGCCACAGAGCTTGGCTTGGCTTGGCTGTCCCTGGGAGCGCTCTGCGAGAGGGAATTGGGGGAGTTAGGGTTAGGGTTAGTGAGTAAGCGATCGATCAGCGCAGCGTCGTCCCGGCGTACTGATGATTTGGTGGATACATTCGCGAGCCGAGCCTAGATTTGTAGAATCTGGTCCTTTTTGCGCCACCGATTCCTCCATGGGCAATCAGTCCTTTACTACATTTGTGGCAGCGATTTGTGGAGATGTCGCATTCTCCTGTTCCGGCCCCTTGGCGAGAGTTTTGATATGTGAGGCGCGCGAGCGAGAGTGAAAGCGAGAGCGAGAGAGAGAGAGGTCGAAAGAGAGAGCGAAAGAGAGAGCGAGAGGGAAAGAGAAAGAGATTTTTGCTCTTGGCTCTCCCTTCCGCTAGATCCTTGATGAGGAGCTCCTAGGCATCGATCGCGCAGTCCTCGCGAATTCCGCCCCCTCCCCTGGCCATGGGCGAGGAGAAATCCAAATCGGGGCCGCCTGGCGCGGCGCTGTGCGGGAGATGCCACGTCTCGGAGGAGCTGGAGCTGCAGGCCAGGAGCATGATCCTTGGTGGCTCTGGTGGCGGCGGCGACGCCGTGCCTCCTCCTCTGTGCAATAGCCACAACAAGCATTGCTGCTGCAAGCTAGGCCGGCACACCCCAACGCACACGCTCACGTATGACGCGGAGCTCATCGCCCTCGACCCCTTCAGCAGATCCAAGAAGATCCGGCGCGGCGCCAATGGCCGATTCGTTCCCAGCGACGCGAAGATCCAGCACCCCGGCGGCGGCGGCGGCGGCGGCGGCGGCACCAATTCGGAGCTTACGTCAACGGTAGTTGCCATGGAAGTTGACAGCGGCGGCAATTGGCTCGAGAGCGACGGCGGCGCTGGTGGCGGAGGAGAATTGGCGGACAGCTCGCTCATCCCGGGGCTCGGGGACGACGTGGCGCGCCTCTGCCTCGCCCGGCTGCCCAGATCCTGCTACGGCCAGTTCTACACGGTAAGCAAGAGATTTTGCTCGCTACTTAGGAGCGGGGAGCTGTATAGCACGCGCCGCGGCCTGGGCATCTCGGAGCAATGGGTCTATCTTCTCAACAGCGGCCAATCCGTGTGGCGGGCCTTCTGCCTGGTCGATGGCGGGCGATGGCGGCCGCTCCCGCCCACGCCCTCGGATCCATGCTTCAATATGTGCGACAAGGAGTCGCTCACCGCAGGGACGCAGCTGCTCGTGGTCGGGCGCGAGATCAATGGCCACTGCATCTGGGGCTACGATCTCCTCACCGATCGCTGGTTCCGAGCTCCACAGATGAACACCCGGCGCTGCCTCTACGCCTCGGCCAGCTGCGGCACCCACGCGTTTGTCGCGGGGGGGATCGACTCCACCACCCAGCTCGAGCTCCGCGCCGCCGAGCGCTACGACTCGTCGTCCGGGCGGTGGGAGGCGCTGCCGGACATGATCAAGCCGCGGAAGATGTGCTCGGGGTTCTACATGGATGGCAAGTTCTACGTGATCGGTGGCGCCAACGCCGCCAGCGCGGAGCTCACTTGCGGCGAGGAGTTTGATCCCGACGCCGGGACGTGGAGGGAGATCCCCGGGATGTGTCCTGCCAGGAGCGATACGACGAGCAACTCGCCGCCGCTGGTGGCGGTGGTGGACAACCAGCTCTTCAGCTTGGATGCGTCGTCCAGGAAGCTCAAGCGGTACTGCAAGCGATCGAACTCGTGGAGGGTGATCGGCGATGTTCCTGTCAAGGCGGACTCGAGCAGTGGGTGGGGGATGGCGTTCAAGGCCGTGGATGGGCAGCTGCTCTTGATAGGCGGCGATCGGAGGGACGGAGACGCGATCTATGCGTGGAAGCCGTGCGAGGAGGAGGGCGGCGCCGCTGTAAATTGGAGGTTCATTGCCGGATTGGTACCACCGGGGACGTTCGTCTTCAACTGCGCGGTCATGTCCGCGTGAGCTAGGCTCCGACCATTAGAAAAAGGAGTTCTTCGGTCGATCGATTGCGAGGTTCCATCTTTTTTGGTGGCGGAGTGGCGGTGGTGGAGCAGAGTTAAGTTCTTCCGCTTTTCTTTTTTCTCTTTTTCTCTTTTTTATTCTTCGCTCAAAGTTTTCCAGGGGATAGCTTATAGGATCAATGACAGCACCATTGGCTGCGCTGCTCATCTATATAAAACCTCCATCAAAGTGGAATCCACTTTTTTTTAGTTTTCCCTTCTTTCCTGCTTGAGCTCGATCGATCGCGCGACTGTGAGACTAAATTCGCGAATCGAGCCAACCACTACTGCGAGGATCCCCGTCCGTATGCTGGCCACCAACCGTACGGCTGGCTGACAAAAACACCAAAACCAAAAGAAAAAACTTAGCGCGGTAAAATCCACTTTTAAAGACCCAAAGACCTTTTAACATCGCCTCCTCTCCGGGCAAAATGGGTAAGTTTTTAGGAGGGTCTCGCTCACACGCCGGAGACGATGAAGGACGAGCTCGAGGAATCGAGGAGTAGTAGCAGCGGCCATGGCGGATCCGGGAGCCCTAATCCTGCTCGAAGATCCATGGAATCTAGTAACAGTGCCCACGGAGCGAGATCTCCCTTGCATCCCAGAGCAGGAGCAGCGGGCAGTGGAGCTAGAAAGCCTCCGGGCGAGGCCACTCCCACCAGGAAATCCCACAGTCGATTCGTGGATCCAGTTGAGTGTCTCTGTAGAGCTAGGCCTAGCTAGGTAGAGTGTGATCTTCGATTTTTGTTTCTCTTGGTGCGTGCGTGCATTGGTGGACTGGTCAATTCTTAAAGACCGAGCATGACTTTGTTTGACTTTTTCTCTCTTTGTCTTCTTGGGCTGCGATCTAATTCGCAAACTTGTTCTTTGTTTTTGGCCACTTCCAGCCGGAGCGCGTGGCGGCGCCGCTGCCCAAGTTCGGGCAATGGGACGTGAACAATCCCTCCTCGGCCGACGAGTTCTCGGCGATCTTCGAGGACGCTGTGGTGGAGAAGAGGGGCGATTCCAGAGGGGGAGGGATTGCGTATGGCTACTCCGACCGCGATCGCTCGTCGTCTTCGTTTGACAGGAAGAAGCCCAAATCGATCACGGTAACGATGCTGCTAAAAATCTCTCCTTTGCCCTCTAAATCGATTGGATTGATCCCCGCAGGAACGATTGTGCTGCTGCTTCACGCCGAGAATTGGCTAGGTTGGGGAAAGTTTGTGGAGTTTTCTCGGTTTTTAGGATACTAAAAAAAATGTAGCAACGGTCAAGTGGCACGTCATTTGCCACGTGTGATTCCCCCCATTCCCATTTTGAATGCTCCTCCCTCCCTGTGTAATTGCTCCATCCAGCCGCTAGAACCCTAATCGCGGGGGAGCTCGACCGCATCCATGCCGAACAAGGCGTCCTCCTCGTCCTCCAGCGGCCGCCACAACAAGGTATTCGTGCTGCAGAGGAGTCTAGGGAGCTCGCCGGTGCTGGAGGGAAGCTATGGCGAGCAAATCGGGATCCCTGGGCACCAGAGCGGCCTCGTCGGGGTCTATGTCTCGGAAGAACAGGCCTACGCCGCCGTGATCCAGCGCCAGGTCGCCGGGATGGAGCAGATCGCCGGGAGCATGCTCACGGATCTCCGCAAAGTGGTGTCGGTCAAGGGGCTGTCGTTCAAGGAGCGCTACAAGAAGATGCTCGAGTGGGTTCGCGACTGCGATTGGTACAGGGTCGCCGACGCCGTGAGCTTCCAGATCAAGGAGTGCCCGCTGGTGCCGTTTGAGAAGGTGAACGAGTCCAAGCTCTTCGATGGCGTCCAGGATCTCCAGTCGGCGGTGTCTGACAATGGGTCTTTCGTGGACGACGAGGAGGACGATGAGCTCTACGACGAGGCTGGTGTTGGCGGCAAGGGAGGAGGAGCCAAGAAGAGGAGATATGCGCACTACTAGCTCAAGGTGCCGTATTGCATTTCTTCTTGGATTGTTTTTCTAGCTTTTTAGCTTCCTTTCCTCTGTTTTCTCTCATGCTTTGCTGCTTGCAAAGGTCATGACACATTCATAGCTAGCTAGAATTGTTTGCCTCGCTCAGTTGGAGCCAGCGTCCACAGTTGAGTGAGGCATTCCAGTGTTCTTTCTAAGATGCAATGCAAGTTGTGCTCTTAATTTATTTGCATCGGTGTGGAACGTCACTGACTGTTTTGGCATCTTTTAACTAATTTCTAGTTCTCCAAGTTGGTCCTCTGGATGGGAATGAGTCATAGTTTTCTGCAAGTTAAAGGCAGGCGTGATTCCTGGAGAACTATGGCATAGGCAATCGGTACGTACCATTTTTTTATCTATCGATCTATCTGTATGCTGTTTTGAGTTTTGAGGTGCCCATCAAGAAGCATGGACTACTGACATCAACTTGTTTGCAGGATTTCTGTCCTTTACGATAACGCGGCCACAGTGAACTGCAAAATCGCTGTCGAGCGTCACGTGGGTGAATTCCGTAGTCAATACTAGGCTTTCTGTTTCTCATTTTGCCATGGCTGCTTGGGCTGAACGCCTGTGGGATTTTGAGTCCTCTAGTGCTCTGATTGATCATTATTTCGATGCCCCCAGTTTTTGTAAGGATGCAGCTGCTGCTGAGGCTCCACAAACTCCGGATTATCGAAAGAAGCTGCGCGTCGTGGGGTCCAAACGAGAAAGCCACGTCTTGGGCGAGCGAGAGAGGAGGAAGGAAATGAATCAGCTGTTTGCGCGGATGGAAGCTGTGTTGCCTGAGCCACCTCCAAAGGTAAACCCATCATCCACTCGGTGCTACTAATGAGGGCCAAACTTCTTGTCTCTTCACAGATGACCAAGCCAGCTTTGGTGGACGAGGTTCTAAAGTACATTCAAGGACTACAAGTCGAGCTCGAAGATCTTTCCGAGAAACGAAAGGCCGCACAGAAGGCAGCGCGGATGCGACGTGCTCTCCATCCAACGCCAGCGCCAAATGTGGCTGTGACTATGTGCGGAAGCAGTGCACTCGTGACTGTGATCAGCAAACGGCAGCAAGACCTCTTCAGCAAGATTCTTCATTTGGTAGCCAGGTTTCAAGTGGAACTGGTCGGCGCGAGCGTCTCTACTGCTAGTTCATCCATGTTTCATCACATTCATATCAAGGTAAACATCCCCCTTTGTTCCTCGGTTTTCTCCTCACATTGCGTCTGGCAGGCTTGTAAGCAGGATTTCTCTTCCGAGGCTCTTGAAGAGGCTCTCCGGCAGCTGGTTAGTAGATGATACATCACTACCTATTGACAGTGTCCCTTCCGGAAGAATCACACAATTAATATAGTTTAGGCAGTTTGTCATCACATAGAATAAGCTTGCAATCTCACAAGGTATATATATATTAGTACCACCATGAAACAAAGCTTGAACAGAGTAATGTGTGATTTTCAAGTGAGATTTCGGAGGAACTCGGCCGCGGTCGCAATCGCTCCGCCAGTAATCGCGCTCGAAATGACGCGCTCGTGGGTCACGTTTGAATCGGTCAGCGACAGTGCCGCTCCCGTCAATGCTCCACCCAGCAATGCGTTCTTCTGCGCACCCAAGAACAATTGTTTTTAGAAAAAATCGTCATAAAAAAACTAGAAAAATCGAGAACCCAGTCATGGACTCCGCGAGCTTCCTGCATCGTGTAGGTCATCCCGGAGTAAATCCCAGCCACCATTCCTGGAGAGCGAGCAAGCATTTGATCAAAAGCGTGTAAGAAACGCTTTAGAGGAGACCGAGTTCTTTACCCCACTGCAAGCACTCCTTCCCCATTTGATTCACCTGGAGACCAGCAAAAGAAAATTGAGATTTTGGTAAAGTTTTCAATAGTGAATAAAGAATCCTTACCGATTTCTCGAGAGACCTCTTGTTAGCACTCTCTGCCGCAAGCACAAAGCCCTGTTAGCACAATGCTGAGGAGAATATCCAATCCACATACCTTGAGAGACGTAGCGCATGGACTCTTGGGCTGCCGCATGGAGGGCGCCGGTCTGTAAATGGAAGATTAGAGAGACAAGATTGGAACTATCAAGCTATTCCATGGCTCACCCCTCCGACTTTGATGAATCCATCCACAATCCGGTTGAGAAGAGGATGCCCCATGTCGATCAAAACATCCACATTGGGTCCATCGAAGCTAGTGTTGACGCGTGCTTGCGGCATTTTTCCCTCTCCTGGATTGATCGATTCTAGCAGTTACTGCGCAATCTAAAAAATTTCTCTAGAACAGTGAAGGACAGGGGCTAGAAGGGCAACGCTGGGTTTTGATCTGCGAGATATCTCCTTCGGTGCAACACGTGTTCGCTCCTTAGCGGTGCTGGAGCATGCAAGTGTGACGCGTGCCCTATGACATTGCTAGCCAGCGTGGCGTAGGATATTCGTATACTTTGGATTTATCTTTAGGGTTTAAACTGTCATTCTCTAAAGCCCTAGCTATGGCGGGAGCTTCGAAGCGATCGCCTCCTCCGCCTCCTCCTCCTCCTCCGGGATCGGCCCCAGCGCCAGCGGCGTGCCAGGTACAATGCGCTGGATGCCGATGCGTTCTCAATGTGCCTCCCGGAGTGATCGAGTTCCGCTGCCCCAAATGCAAGCTCGCGCAAATGCTGCCCCCGCAGCTCCATCCCCAGGTGATGCTGCCTCCGCCGCCGCCGTTGCCTCATCTTCCGCCGCCGCCGCGGCCATCGTCGGCTCCTCCGCGCGCTCCCGCGGATTCTTCCAAGATACAGCTTCCCTGTGCGAATTGCCGGGCCGTGCTGAGCGTCCCGCCTGATCTGTCCAGGTTTGTGTGCCCGCAGTGTAGGGTGGAGCTCGCAGTGGATCCCGCGAAGCTCGCGGGGTACATGAACTCGCTGGCACACCTTTCCTACTTGAGCGCGGGCAACAAGGACGTGGACGATCCTCTTTTGTGGAACAAGTTTGGCGATGCTTCTTTGGAAGAAATTAACGAGGTAAGATCGTTCATGGGAAGGAAATGCTTATATCTTTGTTCTTTTGATGAGCTTTCCAGGTAGCTCTAGAAGTGGAGAAAGAAGAGGATGAGAATGGAACAGTTGGAGATACTTTCATGGACTACGTGAGTAATGCCTGTTTCTTCTCTAGTGGTTCTGACTAGTACTACTTTGTGTAGAGGCCATCGAAGTTGTCGATCGGTCCACCACATCCCGATCCGATCGTGGAAACTTCATCACTTTCGTCAATCCAGCCTCCAGAGCCTACATATGGCCTCAGAATATCCAAAGAAATGGAGGATTTGGGAGCACTATCATGCCTGCAGTTGGAGACATTAGTATATGCATGCCAGGTAGGCTTTGTTGCCTTCGAACTATCTTATCAAAATGTTTTATAGAGGCATCTTCAACATCTGGCCGATGGAACTCGAGCAGGATTTTTTGTAGGAGATGGTGCTGGGGTTGGGAAGGGTAGAACAGTAGCTGGACTTATCTGGGAGAACTGGAAGCATGACAGGCACAAAGCCTTGTAAGGTTTGCTTCGACATGCCTCACTTGGAAACCTGGTCTTCATGTTGTTCGCAGGTGGATCTCTGTCGGATCAGACCTTAAATTTGATGCTCGGAGGGATCTGGACGATATCGGCGCTACTAGCATAGAAGGTTTCTTGTATGCAAATATCATTACAGCTGATGTGTCTCGTGTATGCAGTGCACGCTTTGAATAAGCTTCCATACGGAAAACTTGATTCCAAGGCGATAGGGGTGAAAGAAGGCGTCATATTCCTGACATACAACAGCTTAATCGCTTCGTCTGAGAAAGGCCGTTCCAGGCTACAGCAGCTTATACAGTGGTGTGGACCAGACTTCGATGGACTGATTACTTTTGACGAGGTTCGTCGCTTGTGTTAGTTGCATTCTGTTTTCATATTTTTATATTCTAGTGTCATAAAGCCAAGAACTTGATCCCCGACAGTGGAACTCACGCTACTCGAACGGGTGAAGCAGTTGTCGAGATTCAAGTGGGAATTGATCTTCTTTGTGGTTTATAATTGATTAATCTATGTATCTGGCAGAAAAGGCTTCCTGAAGCACGAATAGTATATTGCTCGGCGACGGGAGCATCAGAACCTCGAAACCTGGGCTACATGTGTCGCCTGGGGTTATGGGGAAAAGGAACAGACTTCCCTCATTTTCACGCTTTTCTTGGTATGCTTTCGCTATGTTTTTCTCTTTAGAACCCGGGCTTTGCAGCGGCTTTAGAAAAAAGAGGAGTTGGCGCACTGGAGTTGGTAGCAATGGACATGAAAGCCAGGTCAGTCTTAAGCTACTTAGCCACAACGAGAAAACGTTTTTTCTGCGTTCCGCAGGGGAATGTATGTGTGTCGGACCTTGAGCTTTCAAGGCGCAGAATTTGAAGTTGTTGAGGTTCCGCTAGAAGCTGCAATGAAGGTAAAACAGCATTGTGTTTCATCATAACTGGTGAGACGTTATGATTTAACAGGACATGTATGCAAAAGCCACGCGCATTTGGGGTGATTTACGTGTTGAATTTATGCAAGCTTCTGAGCTCCTTCAAGATAAGAAGCCTTTAAATCAATTATGGAGAGTGTTCTGGGCAAACCATCAGGTACTCCTTCAACACTCTCTACCTTAACTGAATCATTGTGCATTGTTTCCAGCGGTTTTTTCGACATATGTGTATGTCCGCGAAGGTCCCAGCTGTTGTACGATTGGCAAAGCAAGCCTTGTCTGAAGGAAACTGTGTTGTCATTGGATTGCAGAGCACGGGAGAAGCCCGCACAGAAGAAGCAATAAGCAAATACGTAGGCGTTAGTCCTCTTGCCATATAAAACACTGACTGTGAACAAATCTCAGGGTGCTGAACTCGACGATTTTGTTTCGGGTCCCAAAGAGCTTCTGCTGAAGCTGGTTGAAGACTATTATCCACTTCCACAGCAATGTAAAGGTAATATTTTATATTCGTAAGCCTCCCGAGGTTGTATTTTTTTTTCTTTTTTTTCGCTTGGAAGATGGCAGTGACAATGACGCTTTGGACGAAAACGTTATGGAAGCGAGAAAAGCTAAGCCCAAAGATGGTTTAAGTGGCGATGAGGAAGAAGAATTTGAAAGTAAACCTTTTCTTCTTCTTCTTTTATTAATTTGTAAGTTCCTATTTCAGCGGAATGTGAGACCGATTCTAGCGGAAGTGAAGAAGATACCAAAACTTGCAATGTTTGCGCCGTGGAGAACGTAAGAATCTTTATTAAATTACGATGCATATCTAATTTTGTGCGCATGGGTTTTAGAGAACGCTCAAACTCGTGGATTGTGCACTCTGTGGTATGACCGTTCATTATCAGTGTCTTCCAACTTCAATTGCGGAAACTGCTGAACCAAAATGGTTATGCCCTCCTTGCGCTGACGAGTTGCGTGAAATACGTCAGGCGCGGAAACTCTACTTTTCTGAACTTCGGCGCAGGTACATCTCGGTGATGATCTCGAAACGAACTAACTACATTACAGACACGCAGAAGCGAAGTCAAGAAAAATGGCAGCTTTGGAGGTCATCCGTTCCCTGGATTTTCCAAACAATCCTTTAGATGATATTATTGATCAGGTACTCCCGTCCGAAGCGTCTTAACGGAAGTCACTCTTTGTTTATTGTCTCAGCTCGGAGGTCCCGATTGTGTAGCCGAGATGACTGGACGTAGGGGAATGTTAGTCCGTGCCTCAAATGGCAAAGGTGTCGTCTATCAAGCTCGAAATACGTAAGTCTGCTTAGCACTTTTGTATTTTGAACATATTTTGTTTTAGGAAGGATGTTCCGATTGAGATGATAAACATGCACGAGAAGCAGCAGTTTATGGATGGGAAGAAACATATTGCCGTTATTTCTGAAGCTGCTTCGGCTGGTATATCTCTGCAAGCTGACCGTCGAGCAATCAATCAGGTTGGATTTTTGGACCGTGTCATTTCGTATAATCATCTGTTCCTGTAGCGTCGAAGAGTACACGTTACGCTAGAACTGCCATGGAGTGCCGATCGGGCGATTCAGCAGTTTGGCAGGACACATCGGTCGAATCAAGCTTCTGCTCCACAATACAGGTGTTTGAAATTATAGCTAACACGATTCTCACATTGCGTTTTTCACAGGCTGCTCTTTACAAACCTTGGTGGAGAACGTCGATTTGCGTCCGTAGTGGCCAAGCGCTTGGAAACACTGGGCGCACTCACTCAGGGGGATCGTCGGTGTGTACATTTTGAAATTGAAACAGGTCTCTATTAACAATGCTTTTCACATCAGAGCTGGTCCGTCACTGAGTGCGTTTAATTATGACAGCGCTTATGGGAAGAAAGCGTTATCTATGATGTACAAATCTGTCATGGAACAGGTATGAGTTTCTTTCAACTATTCAGTATTTTACTACTTTCTTTCAGGTCGATTTACCCGTGCTTCCACCTGGTTGCACTTCTGGTAACAAGGAGGTGGTGAGAAATTTTCTCATGGAAGCAAGGGCTGTGTTGCTAGCTGTGGGGATAATTCGTGACGCATTTCCAAGTGAGACTTTGTTATCTTAGATCTTGTTTTCTATAATTGCATCTATGGCAGTGGACTCCGAGGATAGGCGGCCATCTGGAAGAATCGCCGAGGGTGATATGCACGATGTAGCGCGCTTTCTGAACCGACTTCTAGGTGTTCCACCGGATGTGCAAAATTGGTACGACTGTTTCGTATAATCACAGTTTTGAGGTTGGATATGCAGGCTATTTGAGTACTTCGTTACTATTTTTGACGAGCTCATTCACGATGCTCGCAAGGAGGGACAATTTGATTCCGGAATTGTTGATATCAAAGCAAGAGTTATTGAACTACAGGGCCTACCAAAGGTAAACTGTTCGCCGTGGTCATCGCACTTAGTATCTTTGGTGGTATTTATGCAGACAGTTCATGTTGACCGGATGTCAGGAGCTCCTACTACACATTCTGTGCTTTTGATTGACCGGGGTTTGACATTTGAGGTAAGGTTCTTTAATTGCTGCATGTACCTAACCCTTTCTGATAGGCCGCATGTCTAGAGTTGGAGCGTGCGAGCGGCAAAGATAAATTCGCAGATAATGGATTTTACAAATCCAAGCGAGAATGGCTTGGTCGGATACACTTTCTGCTAGCAATTGAAAGGTAATTTAACTTTGGGGAGCTTGCATTGTTTCTGAAACACATGTCTAGGACGGGTCTACTGCCCCGTGCTTTTAAAATTCTTCGTCCTTCTACCGGGGAAGCCTTAAGGTAATTGCTGGTTTTGTTAAAGCTACTGAAGAGTTTATTGTAATGCAGAGAAATGCCATCTACAGAACTCTTTGCTAAGTATGAGAAAGTGAACCTCAACGATCAAGTAAAAGAAGGATGGATACAGGATTACACATTGTCTGCTCAACAGGTAGCTATAAGAACAATACTCATAATTCTCAATGCTGTTATTTGGTTAGTGTACCCACGGACCACAATGCAAGCTTGGAGCTGCATGCACTGTCGGGAAACGCGTACAGGAAGTCCATATTCTCGGGGGTTTGATACTTCCCGTTTGGGGCAGCGTGGAAAACTCCCTTGCAAAGCAGGTACTTTGACACAATATTCAGAAGACTTTCAGACTCATTTGATCTGCAGGACCGAGCTGCTCACCGGAGATTGAGAGTCGCCCGGTTAGAAACGACATCCTCTGACAGGACGAGGGTCGTGGGCCTCCATATTCCAACTATTGCAATTAACGCCGTCTTAGAAGGTGTCTAACATTGTTTCAATGTTTAACGTATTGATTTTGTGCTTGTATTTTGCAGGCCTGGGATGGCTGCAAAACTAAGCTTAAGGTACACAGGTCAAAGTTTTTGCTCTGACAGGAACATAGTTGTTGGACTCATTTGCCATAGAGCGCCTTATTTGGTGGAGACATCGTACAGTGAAGTGCTAGAGTCAAATTCATCATCTCATATCCCATATGCCCCAACGTCTTTCTCCACACCATCATTCCCTTTGAGCGCCAAGTGAACAGTAGTGAAATTTACTTACAGATATTCCTCATCTTTCTTCTCCTTTAAAACTCAGGACATCTTCAGCTTCTCATCAGTGCCTTGGTTCATCATCCAGGAGCACTCAATCACAGCATCAGTTACTGTGGTCACTAAACGCTGTGATCTATTGTTAAATAAGCGGATAGTTTTTCCAGAATTCCACGTCCACATTCCCTTTGCTTGCCTCCACAAACTGTGATGTAATTGGCTTCCACCTTTCACATTCAGTTCCGTACTTCTCAAGCATGTCAACCCTGGAATGCCCAATCCCCATGAGTGTCACGTAGGGTATCCGCAAGAGTACCATGCAGCATAGTCGAAATAGCTCTTTAGTGTGGACATGAGCATAATGCTTCCAGACATCACTGGTTGTGGGCCAAGACCCCAGTTTAGCCTTTTGGTTAACAGATCAAGGTGTATGTTCGCGCTCTTGATCTGTGATTGGTTATGATCGCAAGCCATGCCTAAACCCTAATCTTTTCTCGAATAAGAATGTTCTTTGGATAAGTGAAAGCGTCCTGAATGTTGTACAACATGTCTTCTGGTTATGTCCTAAAGCACAGTCAGTTTGCTGTAGTTTGTTGTTTCTGGTACAAGGTTGATCATCAAAGTTCAATTGAAAACGAAGGGCCTGCAAGACATTGCGCAAGGAACTTACTGGGGAAAAGAAGTTCCGGAAGGTAATGTCAATTCAGTTATATAAGATTCCTATATAAGCACGCCCCAATAACTTTTTTTGAGCGTTCTTTGATCATCCAAAACTTAACTTAACAATAAAGGAAACTGCGAGAGTTTTCTTCTTTTCTTCAGTGGATTCCGGGGAATTTGTCTAAGTTGTCCATGGTCATGCCGTAATGCTTGTCTAGGTTGTAGCAGCCGTAAAACTTCGCTCGCGCCTCCTCCCGCCAACGACGCCGCCGCACCGGTCATGCCTACTGGAACGCCAAAAATGGTCGCCACCGTGGGCGTGCTTGCTGGAGCTCCACCTCCCGACGTCGCCGTCCCAAAGGGTGTGCTAATCGGCGGCGCCGTAAAGGAAGTGCTTGCTCCTCCGCCCAAAATCGGCGCCGCCGTTCCGCCAAAAATGGACGAGCTCCTCCTCTGCCAAAAATTGTCCGCATGAATGGGGTGCTTGCTTGCGCCGCTGGAGCTCCGGAAGTATTCGGTGTGAAGAGCAAGGGCGGGAAGGCTAGCGACGTTTTCTTGCTCTTGAGATGCGCCGCCACCTTTTCGAGCACCACGTCCGAATTGGAGCCGCTGTTCGTCCCCAGCACCAGCGCCAGGAGTTCGCCGACGTTGCTCTCCTTCTCCCGATCCATCATCAGCCCCTTAATCTCGCCCAGGAGCCTGTGATCCTCCACGCCCAAGTGGAGCTTCAGAGTCCTCTTGAGCATCTGGAAGCCATGGCCGCGTAGAAATCGATCCGGCTGGCAGCCCGGGAAGACGGTGTCCGGCTTGGATTCGTCCGCATGAATACGAAGATCCTCTCGTCCGGAGCCCACAGTCCATCGCTCATGTCCAAAACATCCGCCATCTTCACCGATCCCATGAACACAGCCTCCCAGATTGCCATCAGTTGTGCCTTGCGCCACCAAGCCAGTATTTAGATTGTAAACATCGTAGCCGAGCTTGTTGGCTATGGCGGCCACAAGCTGCTTGTTGCCACTTGCCTGGCAGCCGAAGACGAGGTAACTCCTCTTCTTCCTAATGTAATAATCCCGAGTTTGAATATTAATACAAGTTTTAGGGTGAAAGCCCAAAGTGGGTTCAATTAAAAGCTGCCACGTGTTAATTCCTGAATTGATGGAAGCAAAAGCTGGCCAAGGATCTAGAAGTGTTTGTGAGAAGGCTTTGATGGGAAGTGAAAAGCAAGTGGATGATGTAATGAAAAGTAACATTAGCACTATCAACAAGGAATCTTAAGAACAAAAAACTATAATCAAGAGCTCTTTCAACTGTACAAAAGTACTTTAATAAGCTAGTGTTCAATGAAATAGTATAATCTATCCTTATTATACTTTTGGAACCTCTGGAATGTTGACACTTAGTTAACACGTGGCAGAAAATAAAATACATGGCACAGTTAATTCGTTTCTTTTGCACAGAAAAAAGAATGGAGAGCGCCTGCATTGTCCTTTGCTACTTTGGAGATTGACAAAGCATCCAGGTAGTGGAAGGATGACTTCAACAAGGACTTGAATCCTAACGTAATACTCATCCCAGCAAGCTTGAGGCCATACTTTGGCTTCCCAGTCTACTGCTTTGTAAATTATGGTAAGTTTGCTAGCTGCAAGTTCGATTGATCCTGTTTGGAATGCCGAATTCTTCGTTTGCCGAGCACAGAATAAGCATTTGCGAGCAAGACGTAGGCAGCTGCATTCTTGGGATCCAAATCTAGCAGGCTTCTCGCGGCGCCTTGTCCAAGCCGGAGATCATTGTAGCTCCTGCAAGCTCCCAGCAAGCACGTCCACTCCAAGGCGTCGGGAACGAAGGGCATGCTGTGGAGAAGATCTCTAGCTTCCGAAAGATATCCTGCCCTGCTCAGCAGATCGACCATGCAACAGTAGTGCTGCTTGGACGCCGCCAATCCATAGTCGAGCCTCATGGAGATGAACCAGCAGCGACCAAGGTAAACTTTCCCCCCGTGGCTGCAAGCCACGAACGCCGCCAGGAAGCAAACGTCGTCCGAGAAGTCGATCGAGTCGAAGAGCTCCAGAGCTGCGGCGTAGTGCCCCTTTTGGACGTAGACCACTAGCAGGATCGTCCACGAGACAAGGCTCCGTTCCGGCATCTCATCAAACACTTTCTTCGTGGATTCCACTAATCCGGCATGGGCATATGCCGAGAGCATCACGTTCCACGACACTGAGCTCCTCAGTGGCATCTCGTTGAACGTTCTCACGGCCTCCTCAAGATGCCCGTTCTCGGCATATGCCGCGAGCATTGCCGTCCAGGATACCAAGCTGTGCTGTGGCATCTGGTCAAACGCGTGCTTGGATTCTTCGAGCCTTCCTCTGCGGGCATACGCGACGGTCAACGCGGTCAGCGAGACGAGATCGACACGCGGCATGCGGTCAAAGAGATCCTCGGCTTCCCGCAGATGCCCGTTTTGGGCATACACTGCGAGCATAGCGTTCCACGAAACTACGTCTTTCTCGGGCATTTCGGAAAATATGCGCTTAGCACATTTCACATTCTCTTCATGGGCGTAGGCAGTCAGCATTGCACTCCACGAGACGAGGTTATGCTCGGGCATGACGTCAAAAAGCCTCTTAGCCTGCAGTATATGCCCGCTCGCGGCAAATGCCGACAGCATAGAGTTCCAAGAGAAGAGATTCCCGTATGGCATGGATTCGAATATCCGCCTGGCCTGCACGACAGCGCCGCATTGTCCGTAAGCGTGAAGCATTGCCGTCATGGCAACGAGATTATGCTGTGGCATCGAATCGAAGGTTCTTTTTGCCGCCTCCAAATGCCCAGTAGTGGCATATGATGATAGCATCGAAGTCCAGGTTACGATGTCTCTCTCCGACATTTCGTCAAACATTCTCTTGGCCGATTCGAGATCTCCACGCTGCGTGAAAACGTCCAAGATCGCCGTGGAGGAGACCCTCTCGTGTTCCGGCATCTGGTCAAAGATAAGCTCGGCTTGATCCAGATGCCCATGACGAACATACACTGCGAGCATCTCGTTCCACGCAACCAGATCTCTCTGGGGCATGGAATCGAAGAAAATTCCAGATTCTAGCAACAAATCCTTGCACGAGTACGCTGTGAGCATCGCGCTCCAGGACACTAGCGTTTTCTGCGGCATTGATTCGAAGACTCTCTTGGCCTCTTCCAGATGCCCCATGGCGGCATACGCCGACAGCATCGCGTTCCAGGCGACGAGATCCCTCTGTGGCATTCCGTCAAAGAGCTCCCTGGCATGGATCCATCGCCCGTGCCTGGAGTTTGCCGCCAGCATCGTCGTCCAGGAGATCAAGCTCTTCCTCGGCATGGCATGGAAGATCGCCTCCGCCTCGGCGAGGCTCCCGTTCCTCGCGTAAGCGCACAGCATCAGGTCCCAGCTCATCGAGTTCTTGGCGACGATCCTGTCGAACACCGCCCTCGCGTTCTTGGGGCTCCCACACTTGCCGTGCATCTCGATCAGCTTGTTGGAGACGAAGGGATCGAGCCGGAGCGAGAAGGGGATGCGATCTTCGATGCTCCTGGCGGCGGGGGCTGTCCGGCAAGACCGGATGAGCGCAAGGCATTGCTCGCGATCCATCCATCGAGAAGAGACGCGCAAGAGGATGATCCTAAATCTCAGCCGTTGGATAAAAGAATATCCGGTCCCTTTGAATCTCAGCCGTGGATCTACACCCAGAAGGCGAGTAATGACATTAAGGTAGCTCCAGTGAAGAGCGAGAGCAACGACAGCGTTTGCAGCCTGTGGTCACACCTCATTCTTTTGCTGAGAAAATCCGCTGCGATGAGATTTACAAGCGCCATGTACACTAGAATCCCCGCTGACACCGAGTAGAACACCCCCTCCACCACCAAAGCTTTTACGCTTTTTGGATTGTACACTTCCGAGATCCCAATTCCAATGGCTATTCCACCCGGAGTCGTGATCGCGAAGAACACTGCCATGATTACCACGGACAGCGGCTTGAAACCGGCCTGTGGAGTTCTGGAATTTGAGAAAACCCAGCTTGAGGGAAGAAAGGGAGATTTTACCTGAGAGATACATCCTCCAAGCGCAAATCCCTCGAAGAACTGGTGAAACGAGAGTGCCCCTAGGAGTGGCCTGATCGTGCATGGGCTTTGCGAAACACCCAGGGACAAGCCGATGATGATCGAGTGTGTTATGATACCGAGCTCCAGCACCTAGAAACTCTTCGAATCAATCTCAAGGAAACGGAAGGAAGCGAACGCAAACTTACTTGCGAGATGATGATATGCCGGATGCGAGCAAACTCGTCGTCCTCGTCACTGAAACTGGCAGAATGAGCGTGCCCGAGGTGCTCGAAACCGAGTTCCTTGCCGTGTAGTCCCTGAGGATGACTGTGACTGTGAGAGGCAGCGTGAGCGTGCATCCCAACAATGTGAAGCTTGGGTTGGGAGCCATTACTGTCGGCCCCTGCTTCCACGTCCAAGTCTTGGTCCTCCAGCGAGCTTGAACTTGCGTGCTTATGGTGCTTTCTCTCGAAAAACCCCGTGCTGAGAAGATCCACCACCAAAGTTGCCATGGCTGAAAACATCGCTATGAAGCCTCCAAACGGGAACCTCTTCCACGGTATCTCGGGCAGGCACTCGCTCTGGAGGACCAGCATCGCGTCGGGGAGGATGTGCACGAAGGCCGTCGCTAGAATCACTCCCGCCGCAAGAGCCTTGGCAATGAGGAAAAACCCACGGTCCGTCCTCAAGCACGTCAACCTCTTGCCGAGAAGTGGCAGAGCTACGCCCATAACGCCGGTTACCAGGATTGCCACCATCGCCAAGATCTTAAGGAACAGTGCCTCCCCTTCGTTCCGACAACCACCATCGCCATCACTCTCGCACATAGCCGCGGCTGCTGTTCTCACTATACCTGGTTGGAATCGAAGAAAAAAGAAAGAAAAAGAAGTGAGTCCACGCACAGGTTTTCAAAGGCTAGTCTAAGGAACGCTCAGCGGGAATCCTAAAGCTTCGCGAGAGCGGCATAGCATAGCTTTAAGCAATTTCAGTACCTGCAGCGTCGAGAATTCTCTCCGGGAGATTTAGCAGGCAAGGCCCGAGCACTCGCAGCAAGATATTTGACGGAAGACTTATCATTTTCTCCTCCCCTAAGTTAAATTTGTTCCTTGGAGAGCGACGCACACCTCTAAGCAGTCGCTACCAAAAAGACGTGAAAGTCTCACCTGATGTCATTACGCACCAAAGCGATCGGCCAATTCCTACCTGAGGAAGGGGAGAGACAAAGGGAAAAGGAAAAGGGAGAAGGGAGGTGTGAGAAAGAGCTTCCGCAATGGAGTCATTCTTCCTACCAGCGATCATCCCATCGCCGCCGCGATCCCTTCCTTCTTTCCCACTTCAATAATCCGCGCGCTGCACAGCATTCCTGGACTCGCAGCCCCCGGCGGCGTGAAAATTTCAAGAAGGAAGGCGCCGATTCTCCAAAGATTTACCTCGTCTGATCAAGCGCTGGCGCGCTCCAGCTGCGCAGCGAATCGCTCCGCTCTCTCTGGCAACGAGCGCATTGTAGCACACTTGGTTGCGTGCCCTCATTGTAGCGCGGCTTTAAACTTTTAGAGCTCGGAAGGCCGCACGTCCACGCGCCGGCAGAATGTCGACACTCTCTCTTTTTATTTTTGGCTTGTACGGAATCACACTTATCCACTACTAATCTAACCCTCTCACCATACACAGTAGCAGCCTTGGAAGCTTTCGATCGCGGATTGGATTGTTCGCATCATCCTGTATGGAAAAAGGAGGAGCAAAACAAACAACTTAGCTCAGCCATGCGTTTGGAATCGATCGTACCTCGAAAGAAGGCCAAAGTTTTTGGAGGATGGATGGTACTACGAGCCTGTTCTTTCAGTGCCGACCCGTGATCGCAGGAAGAAGGAGATCACTCACTCGTGATGGCAGTCCTCGACGCTGAAGTCCTCGTACAGGAGCACTCCCTCTGACGAGTAGTGGAGGGAATAGTAGCAGCTGTCGCAGAAGAAGCAAGGATTTGACGGGGCGAGCTTGTCGTCGCGGACGATCTTCCTGGCCCGGTACACGGAGCAAATGCTGCACTTGCGGTAGCGGAGGCGAGGGAGGAATCTGAGCACCGGATAAGTTGACGGACTCCGAGTATCGTCTTCATGGATCAATCTCATGTCTCGAATCACGAACACATGCTTGCAATCGCCCTGTGAAGACAGACGTCCATTAAGTGAGGTGAAAGAAGAAAGAAAGTACTTGCCTGATGGCAGTAGAGGTACTTGGACCCCAGCTTAAAGTTGAGATCGCGAAAGTGCGTTTCTTCCATGCTCGCCTTTTTAAAAGAGGGAAGCTTTGAAAGCTTGCTCCTCGAGCGTCTCGTCTGTCGAGTATCGTCTTGTTCCGCTATCCAGCTGATTATGTTTTCACTGTAATCGACGGCGTCAGGGTGTCGCATGTCATTGTAGAATACATCCTGTGCAGCAATGTCAGCTTGACAGACACCAAAAAAGAGTTTTAAACCATCGAACCTCTATAAGTAAGTATCCCGACGGAGATGCCACCCCCTTTTTTCTCGCCAGCTCGTCCGTCAGACAATGGAGTTGATCCCTGAATTCACAAAGCGACTGTCTACCAAGAACAACCAGCTCTTGAATCTGTATTTTTCTCCGATGTTAGAACGACCAGAAAAGAGAGATGGCGACATACCTTCAAATTTGTCCCATTGTGGAAATCTATCGAGATTAAAACTTCAGCGCCAGGGGCTATTTCGTTGCCCTCAGTCAAAGATAACGGCGAGGTTGGCTGCAGGAAAAGCGTAAGTACTTCGTTTACGTTTTGAAACTCGAATTTACCTCTTCTATCAGTGAAGTCACAAACCTCAATGGACCAGCAGTTCGAAGCCTTCTGCCGAAGCGTCTGGTATCACCTTGCGCTTGAGTTTCAGTCACACTGGAGAGAAAGAAGAAAGAGCAATCAGGACTTGCGCTGGAACACTCAGAGAAATACTACCGGAGCGAATGCAGGGTGGCAGCCGCATTTGCCTTCGCTGTGTTTCGCTCCTCGATCAGCCTGTGAAGCATGCTTTCGACTTGAGGATCCTGAATTCATACCAAAGCATGAGAATACAAAAGAGAAGAAAACGAAAACGGTTACCGTTTGCAAGGTCGCTCTAGAGGGTCCATCACAAGGTCTCCCAGTTCTTGCACCTCTTCGTCTCCCCTCCGATTGTGCAAGTATACTGGCGTGGTTCGTGAGACAGATTTCTCGCTACGAAAAGGGGTGTAAAGGGGGAAGAAATCAAAAGAATGACTTACCGTAGACGTGTTCTCAACAGCTATGTTGATGAGATCGTCGGGGCTAAGAAACTTGAGATCGTCCACCCTTCAGGAAAACAAAACACTCTGAGCACACGAGATTTCTTTCATCCTACCTTATTTGTTCATCCATTTCCATGCATTCGTCGCCAATCTCTGCTTCCAAAGCCTGGTAAGCGCCAGTCATGAGAAAAAAAAAAAATTAACACAAAGCGATCGCACCTCGAGCAGCGCTTTGCACGAGCTATGGTACTCGGCCACTGAGACCAGCGGCGATTCGTAGCCTAAGACGTCGAGAGGGCCTCCGCGGGCACCCATTGCTCGCCAAAACCCTAATCACTGACTCAAGAACCCTAAAAACAGAGAAATGCTCTTTTTCATTTATTTATTGGCTGCCTTTGATTTTGGTTTCCATTTTCTATGTCGGTTTGGGCTTGATTCGGGACGCCAAGCTCTTCCTCAGTGATCAAGCCGCGTTCCTGATCTATCGGGAATTGCTGCCTGTAGCACAACGCTCCAACGACCAAACCTGTGAAAGAGCCACGGCCGTGAGAAACTCTCGCAAAATGGAACATAGAATGGTACCAATGACTGCTCCAGCAACGACATCACTCCAGTGGTGCCAGTAGTCATTCATAATCGAAATGGCAACCAAGGTGGCTCCAACGAGAGGAAGCGCGGCGATCACAAACTTGATAATGCGACCCCTATGACCAGCAAACTTGATTCTACCTGCGAGGTACCATGACAAGTATCCCAACCCCGCGAAAGACCCTGTGAAGAACAAATGATCGTTTTAAGCTCCCTTGCGACGTAGAGAAAAGAAAAAGGAAAACTTACAGGAAGCGTGACCACTTGGGAAGCTCTTGTAGCCTTGACGAACTTCGCCTGCCGAGCCAGTGCAAGCGACGTCTCCAGAGATTGGCTTGAAATGCTAGAAGCAAGAACCAACAAGGATTTACCTCGAGACTCTAGAAATTCCAGGAAACAATACCGGAACGCCGTCTGGAAAGCATCTCCAGAAGAAGTCTGGCCGGGGTCGGCCCGTCAAGTTCTTCAAGGAATCGGTGATCACGGAGGTGATGATAACCGTGAAGAACAAGCCTGGATCGATAGGAGAGAGATATGAGAACTTAGAAGCCAGAAAAAGTTCTTACCAAGAATCGCATGATGCAAATCACGGGTGTTCCTCTTGAAGAAATAGTAGCCAAGAATGAATAGAAGAGGAATCGCGAACGATATCACCTGATCAGAATGGAACTTAGCGAGAAAGCAAGTAAAGATCCCTCTTTTCTTACCACAAGCGCCGCGATTGGGACCGTGAAGCTCTTCACCGGGAACCTGAGATCATTGATCATGTACTCGTTCATGTACCTCCTGAAGGGATGGATCACTTTGAGCAAAAGCAACTCGAAGATGGCCAGAGCAATGAGAATCGCCCAGTCGTGAGCATGGTGTCTCAACAAGCAATGCCTCCATCTCAGGGTGCGATCGCTCATTGCGCTTCCTGGTCACAGCAGTTAGCAAAAAGCACCACTTTTGAGCAAGGGCTCCTCACCTGTTATCGCGTTTTTGCTATGCAATCCCTTCCTCTCACGAAACTCTTGTTGCCACGATCGAGGCCCAAGCTCACCACCGTGTGTAGATCTTTCCCGTTGAAGCTCCGTGATCACCGCTTGCAAGAGAGTAACGCCATCTGTCCATCAAACTAAGCACGACACCTGTAGAAATAGAAAAATACCTCGAGATTCCTTTGTCCGAATGGCAATCAAGGTATATTCGACAGGACGAATCCAGTCTGCGAATCACTGTCAAAAGTTCCACGCACCAAGTTAAAAAAAAAATGGAGCTTTTGCTATATGTACCTCATAGTTCTTCTGGCTCCTTGGACTCCCCAGCGTATATGTTTGAGACGAGGACGTATGGAACACCGCTCTCTGGTTGCAACTCGGACATTTTCGTCCCGGCTCGCGAGCCGATCTCCAGATTTCCATGAACCCGGCACGAGTTTAAGAGCGTCGTCCACACCACGGCGTCAGCTTTGAACGGCATTTTCTCGATCAGTTCCGCGGCCTCCTCGAGCATGCCAGCTCTCCCAAGAGCATCGACGACGCAGCAGTAGTGATCCAGCGAAGGATCCAATCCAAAGTCGCCGGACATGGACACGAAGTATTGGGTCCCGCGATCGACGAGGCCGATATGGATGCACGCCGTCAGAGCACCAACAAAGCTGCTACCAGTCGGCGTCACCCCCTCCAAGAACATGAGCTCCACAAGTCCGAGAGCCTCGCGAGCGTGGCCGTTCTCGGCGTAGCGCTGGATCATCGAGTTCCAGAAGACAACGTCGCGGTGCGGGATGGACTCAAACATCTCCCTCGCCACCTCCAGCCTCGCGTTTTGAGCGTAGAGCATCAGCACGCAGCTGCACGAGAGAAGGCTCCACTGCGGCATCCTGTCGAAGAACTCTTTTGCTCCCTGGATGCTACCATTCTGAGCGTGGCCGGCGATCATCACCGCCCACGAGACCACGTCCCTGTGAGGCATACCATCGAACAATCCCCGGGCTTCCACCAAAAGATCCTTTTGAGCGTAGGCCGAGACGATGGTGTTCCATGACACCATGCTCCACTGCGGCATTCTCTGGAAGGTTGTTCCAGCTTGCTCCAGATCGTTGCCTTGTGATGCATACGCCTGGATCATCGAGTTCCACGACACGACATCCTTGTGAGGCGTATCATCAAAGATTTCCTTTGTGGAATCCAGGTCTCCAGCTCCTGCAAATGCCTGCGAGATCGCGTTCCACGATATGGTGTTCCGCTCAGGCATACTGGCAAACAAATCCCTTGCGTCCTCCAAGTGCCCACTCTCGGCATATGCTGATATCAAGCAGTTCCAGCAGATCACACTCCACTCCGGCGTTCGATCGAACACTTCCTTCGTTTCTCTCACAAGTCCAGCTTGTGCATAGCTCGCGAGTACATCCGTCCACGAGATAACATCTCTTTGCGGCATCAAATCAAACAAGAGCTTCGACTGGGAGTAATGCCCGTTCTCGGCATATGCGTGAATCATCGCGTTCCAGGCCACAAGATCCCAGTGGGGCATTTTCTGGAAGATCCGGGCAGCCTCGATCGTATGCCCATTCTCCGCGCAAGCCCCCAGCATCGCCGTCCACGACACCACATTCCTCTGGAGCATCCCCTGGAAGAAGAACCGGCTGGCCTCGGCGGAACTGCGCGTGTAGGCCTTGGCCATGGCGTTCCAGCACGCCACGTCCCGCTCGGAAGCGCTGATCCCATCGAAGATCATCCGCGCCTCCCCGACGCGCCCGCTGTGCCCATACGCCGCGATCATGATCGTCGCGGAGAAGATGTTGGGGCGATCGATGTCGTCGTAGACCATCCGTGCCTCCTCCACGCTGCCGCATTTGCCATACATCTCCACCAGGAGATTCGCCAGGAAGCGATTGCCGTGCCAGGCGCTGCCCAGGATCCGGGCGTGGATCGATCGCCCGCGCAGCAGATCCCTGGCGCCGCCGCACTCGCGGACGATCCGCGCGAGCGCATCGACGCTGCTCTCCTCGCTAGGGCAGAGCCGCATATTCCACGAATCTTCGAATTTATTTGAAAGCATTTGGGGGCAAAGTTCTCGCAGTCCGTACAGCAACTTACACTGGAAATTTCGCGGGTATAAAAAGGGATTCCAATGAGCTAAGTGCGCGTACGTCAGTGCTGGGATTGAATGCAATGGATTGGCCAACACATTGTCGTGAGTGTCCGGAAAAGAGAAAGAGCGCACCACGCAATTTGTGATCGCCCCAAATTCCATGTCAATCCCTTCGACTCTATGTTGGTGTGCATACGGACGATACGGAAAAGAAGAAGCAAAAAACTATGGAAGCCTTGTAGTGCCATGAGCATCGCAAATTGCTCGCTTTGCCCTCTCAGTGACGTACGTAGTCCGGCCATGTGCCCCATTGCGAGATTTCTTAACAAGAATTTATAGTTTCCCAGTGTTATCCGTACACAGGGCGCTGGATGGATGGAACCCTAATCTCGGAACAACGCAAAAGCAAAGTGGAAATGGCCAAGTGTCGCATTTATGCCATGGCCGTGTCGCATGTGACAGCCGTACGAAACGGCACCTCTCGGGCCTGGCCCAAAACCCAGCCCCACGGGAACCAGTCCGTACCGGCCCCCCAATTGTACGGCGCACGCGGACATGAGGCTTGCACCGGCCGTACAAGACCCACCGACCCTCCCTGCGGTGTTCGTACAGCATTTAAAAGGGTGCGGCCGTACAGAATACGGAAGTGGCCACGTTAGGGTTGAGCGGGAGCGTACGGACGGGCGCTCACCACATAGAGCCTGTTTGTTTGTTTTGGTATATTGGTATTTTATTCTCCCTCTCTCTCTCTCGCGCTGGTTGTGCCCTTCCTCTCTCTCTCTCTCTGTTCTTCCCAGGCTAGGGCTACCAGGAGAATCCTTCCTCTCGCCAATTCCTTCGATCGCTGAGATTAGGGTTCTTCGCTTCTTCCTCTTTGTCCGTCTCGCCAAGAAAACCACGCCAATTTCTTCTCCCTCTCCTTTTCTCTTTTTAGGTCGCGAGCGCCTCGGCTTCCTCATGGCTTGATTGATTGGCAGATTGATTGATCCCGCGGCGCGCGCGCGCTCCACAGCAGGATGATGGGTCAGCAGCCGCAGCAAATGGTGGGGATTCACCACCATCACCACCTCCACCACCACGAATCCGAGCAGCAGCCGATTGTCGTGGACCAGCAGCACAAGCAGCACCACCACCATCACCACCAACACCACCACCACCACCAGCAGCTCATGGAGGAGGAATCCGGCCAGGCAGGAGGAGGAGGAGGAGGAGAGGGCCTCCCGGAAGACGAGGAAGACGTGGAGGAGGACCCCGAGGACGACGATCCCGCCGAGCTCGCCGCGGCAGTGCCATCCTCGGGCGCCATCGGCGAGGGGATGGCTCCCGGCAATGCCGACGCCGCCAGTCTTGTCCCGGTTCTGGGAGTGGATTCCTCGCGGAGGCAGCACCAGCGACCAAGAGGAGGAGGAGGTAGCGGTGGTGGTGGTGGAGGAGGAGGAATCTCGAGTTCTTCGTCGGGGTCTGGCGGAGCTGCTACAGCGGTGGTGGTGGCCGCCGCCGCCGCCGCGGCGGGGCTCGTTCTTCCAGTTCCTTGCTGCCGAGTGGATGGTTGTGGCGAGGATCTGTCCACTGCCGGGGATTACCACCGGCGGCACAAGGTTTGCAAGCTGCATGCTACGTTGCCCAAGGTCATGAATCACGGCCAGGAGCAAAGATTCTGCCAACAATGCAGCAGGTTGGATCTCTCCTCCATATTTTCTCTCTCTTGCGTTTCATTTCTTCGTTGTTCTTCTTTCCAATCTTTGATAGCGAGAGTGGAATGATTTTTTTTGGCGTGTGTTTCTTTGCATGCTTCTGCTTGCTTGATCCAGTGATCACTGACAGAAAGATTTTTCTCTCGGTTGAGTTGGCTGATTTTTTTTCTGGTGGCTACTTTCAGATTTCATTCCTTGTCGGAGTTTGACGAAGGCAAGCGGAGCTGCCGGAAGCGCCTGGCGGGGCACAACGAGCGGAGGCGGAGGCACCAACCGGATTCGCTCGCCACAACTTCCAGTGAAAGTCCTCCATTAACTCAGGGTACGCTTTCTCCGCTCTCTTGCATGTTCATGAGTTCAAGTCTCTTCTCTCTCTTTTTTTTTTTTCTCTTCTGCGTGTACGGAAGTTCCTTTTTTTGTGATCGATATAAGTTTTTGGTTCTTCCCTTTTCCTCATCTATTTTTGGTTTTCAGGCCGGGAGAGCAATAAAAAGCCGCGAGAGTGGAAAGGGCGTGGAAGGGGAGGGAGGAGAGGAAGAAGTGGGCTATCCTTCTCCGCACGGGGACCCGGAGACGACCCCAGCAGCCCCCTCGTCTTGCGAGACGAAATCCAGAGTATGTCCTCTAAGCGAAGAGCGGTGAAGTCAGGTGAAGAGTCATTCTCCATCATTTTCAATGATGCATTCCCAGAGCGTGACAGTGTCAAGGGTAAAATGAGCCTTCGAGTAGCAGACATGATGGAGAAGAGAGTTGCCGGAGAGTATAAGGAGATTGACGAGCTTGATATTGATATAGCAGACATGGAGCAAGTCAAGGAGGGGCTCGACCTGGGTGAAGGCGTCGTCATACCTCCGCTGCCGCTCAAAAGGGACGGGAAGCTGTCGGTGCTCAAAGGCTGGCCACCCCAGGAAGGCGCTGTGCTCAACCCGGACGAGATGCAAATCGAGACGAGCCTGACACCAAAAGACGAGCTTGAGAACAAGCGAGCATGGCAGAGAGGTACGCTCTTTTTTCTTCGATGTTGTTCTAAACCGCCAACTCGTTCGTTGCACAGATGACAAAGAGACGCTGCTCCACTGCTTCTGGGAGTGCTCCAAAGTCCAGCCGGTGTGGAGATGGGCCGCGAGGCAGCTGAGCAAGCTCCGGGGCAGCAAGGTGAAGCTGGAGCTCCGGCAGGCGGTGTTCGGCGGGAAGCTGGATAGCTGGGCCTCGCAGGAGAACGTTTCGGTGTGGAAGCTCTTGCGGGGGATAATCCTCTGGCAGATATGGTTGGCGAGGAAGGGGAAGGCCTTGTCCGGGATCCAGTGGACTTCGAACAAGGTGATCCGGGCGGCGTGGGTGGACCTGATGATGTACGCCATGCAGGATTGGTTGGAAGTTTACAAGAAGAAGGAGACCGGCAAGATGGAAGACGCTCACGAGCTGCGCGGCAAGTTCGATTCCAAGTGGCTGGTGAACCAGTTTGCTGGGAAACGGGCCGAGTGGAGCATGGTTTGGAAGGATCCCGACGACGTTTTGCTCGATTGACAGGGACGCTCGCTGGTGTCACTGCAAGAACAGTAATAGAGAAGCAAGAACCGATTAAAATCTCACCAGGAACTTACAGCGTCAGCAGCTTTGGCCTATTAATCTGGACGAGAAAGGACTGAAGCAGCTCCTCGTCTGCTTCGCTCTTTATAACACTTTGTACACACGACGGACAACGATTGTTATACTTACAAAAGGCTTTTAAGATGGTGGTGGTGGTGATGGAACGATCAAAGTCGACAGCTAGCTGGTAGAAAATAATCTCCTTTTCTTCTTCTTCCTTTCTTCTTTTCATTTGATGGTCTGGTCTGAAAGAACGTTTAATCCCTTGTACGAGGGCTGTAACCATAGCCATAGTTACAGTTGAAGTGATTGATCCTAAAAATACGGCCTGGGATATAGCAAACTTTAGCTTCGTCCACTGGAGTTCGCTGCTTTTAGGGAACAACCAACAAGTTCACCATGGACGGAGCCGGATCAAGCAAGCGGTGGAGGACTGCTTTGATGGGTGCCGGGCGTAGTCGACTGGGCCTGCTGCTCCATGACATCCAGTGGAGTTTGAAAGCGAGTTCTTAAACCTTAGTCTCCGATAAACCCAAGAGCGCCAGCGCCTCTTGGCAGCTCTTGTAGCTGCGAGATCATCACGTTCCTGGACACCACGCTCCAGCAGTGCGGCAAAGCGGGCGCTCTGGCCGAGGCCTGGATCCTCTACCTCGGCCTCGAGGCCGAGAAGCTCGTCGCCAACTTCCTCATCCTCATGTACGGCAAGTGCTAGAGCATCGACCACCTATTCGAGCGGATGGAACGACTACTCGTACAGCATCATGCTCCAGGCATTTGCCGAATGCGAGAAAATGCTCTTGCGCACCAGTCACCCGACGACGGTCAGGCTGATGGAGTCGGGTCCGAGTTGGAAGGCCCGGAAGCTTGCCCATTCTACGGCCTCTTCGCGAAGCTCGCTCGCTCGCTCTTCGACGAGCGCAACGTGGACCACCATGGTCGCGGCGTATGCCCCATCTTCGTGTCCTACGCTAGGCTGCACCACAGTCATGACGTACACGCGCTCGCTCTCGGCCTCCTCCGCTCCCCCGCTCTGCTCGAACCGGCGAAGCGAGCGGCAGTGAAGCAGCATGCTGCGACAGTCTCGAGCATCATGGCTCGAGTTTACTGTAGTGAACCTTTTTTTGTTTTCCACTCTAGAATAACTCCTGGCTATTGGACTCAAGCACTCCAAACCCTTGGTCATCACACCTGAATAACATCACGATCTGGATAGTTCACGAACAAATCGTACTCCTCCGGCGGGATCATCCTGGTGTCGACTCCAGCCTTGAGCACCTTGAGATTGTTCTCAGCGTCGGTGCGAGCTTCCATCAGCATTCCGCGGATGGTCGGCCCGATCACGTCGCGAACCTCGTACGAAATGTTGAAATTGAAGGCGGTATCGCACACGTCCTTGCGCACCTCCTCGCCATAGTCAAGCCGCTCCCACCTGTAAAAGGTGACGCGAAACCCCCTGGACAGGAGCACGCCGAAGAGGAGGTAAGGCCCATCGTTCTTGTCCATCTCCCTGTCCAGGCACTCGTACATGTCATAAGGGGTGCGGCCACAGAGGAAAATGACATCGCCATCCCGCTTGCCCTCGAGCTCGCCACTGCGCAGTGATCAGGAGGACTATGGAAGTTCTTCTTACCTGTAGACAATCACTCTTGATACATAGCCAGTCAGGAAGCCCACGGGATCTTTCCAGTAATCAGGAAGACCCAGTTCCTTGATCTTCCAGCTCTTGTCGCCCAGCACATTATCCGGAGTTACCAGATCCCTGAGACTCACGAACCCCATCCCCAGCCCTAGAATGTTTCGAGCATTGCTGTTATAAGTCTAGTCTCGTGAATTTATCAAAGAACTGATTTGGTCCCTCTCATCACAGTCGTCCTCGTCCATCGCAAGTGATAGACGCTACATTGGGATTGAGCTTGCGAGCTTTCACTCCAGCACAGGCAGCTCGCGGCATATCCTTCTGGACCTTGGCAGCGGCGAGCCAGGTCATTCAAGGGATGGCGCGGCATGGTATCGGCAAGGTCCTCGGCCTAGCATCCCGGCTCGGGTGACTCCATAGTCGGAGGTGATGGAAGACTATATGCCATCCTTGAAGATGGCGAACGCTGACCTCGTCCGGTGGCAGGACGAGATGCTCAATGGCGATGGAGTGTTTGGAGTGTTTCCCTTGTCAGCTAGAGCTCCGGCAGGCTGTCTTCGGCGGGAAGCTGGATAGCTGGGCCTCTCAGGAGAACGTTTCGGTGTGGAAGCTCTTGCGCCCTCGAGCAGATATGGTTGGCGAGGAAGGGCAAGGCCTTGTCCGGGATCCAGTGGACTTCAAACAAGGTGATTCGGGCGGCGTGGGTGGACCTGATGATGTACGCGATGCAGAACTGGCTGAAAGTTTACAAGAAGAAGGAGACCAGCAAGATGGAAGACGCTCACGAGCTGCGCGGCAAGTTCGACTCCAAGTGGCTGGTGAACCAGTTTTGACTGACAGGGTCCCGACGACGATTGACAGGGACGCTCACTCCAAGAACAGTATGAGCAGAGAAGCAGGAACTTACAGCGTCAGCAGCAATCCGGACGAGAAAGGACCGCTCTTTATAACACTTTGTACACACGACGGACAACGATTGTTATACTTACAAAAGATGGTGGAACGATCAAAGTCGACAGCTAACTGGTAGAAAATAATCTTCTTCTTCTTCTTTTACAGCCTGGGATCTATAGCAAACATAGTTGAAGTGATTGATCCTCCAAGATCAAAGCCTGGGAGATAGGCAAACGTTACAGAGGAGGATGTAGAATGCGCTATAGATTACTTGCGTTCACTAGAGTTCGCTGCTTCCACCGCCACCACCGACGATCTTACAGTAGCCTCAGCCGCCGGGGACTCGTGAAAGTCGAGCCATGGCGGAAGGGAAAGACCAACAAGTTCACCATCGACGAGGAGCAGTGTAGGAGCCGGATCAGGCAGGCGGTGGAGGAGCTTTGCACCGATGGCTGCCGGGCGGACATCAACACGTACGCGTCGCTGCTCCAGCAGTGCGGCAACGCGGGCGCTCTGGCAGAAGGCAAGCGCGTCCACGCCCGGATCCTCCACCTCGGCCTCGAGGCCGACAAGCTCGTCGCCAACTTCCTCATCCTCATGTACGGCAAGTGCAAGAGCGTCGACCTCGCCACCCAGGTGTTCGAGCGGATGCCCAGGCGGAACGACTACTCGTACAGCATCATGCTCCAGGCATTTGCCGACTGCGGGCAAATGCGGCTGGCGCGGGAAGTCTTTGACAAGATGCCGCTCCAGGCCGATATCTCGTGGACCGCGCTCATCTCCGGCTACGCCAAGAACGGCTTCCTCGAGGAGGCCGAGGCGATCTTCCGGAAACTCCCCCGCCGCCACTTCGTCGCCTGGACCGCCCTCGTCACAGCGTATGCCCAGAACGGGCAAGCTACAAAGGCGTTCCGGACCTTCCAACTCATGGACCTGGACGGCTCCCAGCCCGACTCCATCGCCTTCATCAGCGTCTTGGATGCCTGTGCGACCGTATTCGCGCTGGACGCGGGGAGATTGGTCCACAGGACAGTGGCGGATGCCGGAGTGAGCCTGGATGCCCGAGTTGTCAACATGCTCATCCACCTTTATGGACGCTGTGGCGCTCTTCGCGAAGCTCGATCCCTCTTCGACAAGCTGGACGAGCGCAACGTTGTCTCGTGGACCACCATGGTCGCCGCCTATGCCCAGAACGGCTACCCGGACGAGGCCCGAGCCATCTTCGATGAGATGCCTCGCCGCAACCTTGTGTCCTGGAACGCCATGGTGACGGCCTACGCCGAGAATGGCCGCGGGAAGAAGGCGCTCGACATCTTCCGGCTCATGGACCTGGAAGGCACCCAGGCTGATGGATTCACGTACTTGGGATCGCTGGATGCCTGCTCCACGATCCCAGACCTGGCCTACGGGAGACTCATCCACGCCGAGATCCGCGAGAGTCGCAGCTCCAGCGATCCCAAAGTTGGCAACGCGCTGCTCAATCTCTATGCCAAGTGCGGCCACCTCCGGGACGCGGTGGCGCTGTTCGCAACGATGCCGATGAAGATCCTTGCGGCCTGGAACACCATGATCGGGGCCTTCGCTCAAACCGGCCACGGCAAAGAAGCCATCGAAGTCTTCGAGCATCTGGCGATGGAAGGCCTGCTACCGGACGAGATTAGCTTCATCAGTGTTCTCTCCGGCTGTGCCTACGCCGGGATCTTCAAGGACGGGCTCCGGATCTTCGTTTCCATCACGTCCGACTATGGAGTGACCCGAGTCTACGACCACTTCGTGTGCGCTGTGAACATCCTGTGCCAGGCCGGGATGCTGGAGGAGGCCGAGGAGCTTGCCGATACCATGCCGTTTGTGACCGACGCCATCCCGTGGATGACTTTGCTCGCCGCTGCCAAGGTCCAAAACGATATGCCGCGAGCTGCCCGTGCTGGAGAGAAAGCTCGCAAGCTCAATCCTAATGTATCGGCGCCTTACGTGATGCTGTCCAGCGTCTATCACATGCGGCGCCAGCAAGCCGGCGAGAGCGAAGACGAGGACGAAGAGGTGATCCTGTCCGAAAGGTGATGATCCTCGGTGAGACAAGCGATCGATCGCTAGATTTCTTCTGACGGTATTAACAGCAGTGCTCGAGGGAATAAATCGAGCCAGTTTTTCGCGATCCATGCTGGAACAATTTTCCAGACAATGATCCAAGAAAGAAGGAAATGACTAGAGACTAGATTTCTAACTAGGAACTATCTATCTTAGCTAAGTGCTGGAATCAAGCGAAACAAGAGGGAAAATTTCCAAACAACGATCCAAGAAAGATTGCATGGATAGAACGAGCTTACTCTAGATTTCCATAGCGATCGCGCCAGCTTAAGAAAAGAGTTTGAAAGTGGACACAATTAAATTTGCCGAGCATACCCCCTTTAAGCCTAAATATTTGGGTCCTTTTTCTTTCTCCCAGCTAGCGAATGAAGAAAGGCGTGACAGGGATCTTCTACGCGATCAGCGAGCAGCAGGAGCGATCGGTTTTCCTCCGCCACTACTCCGTCGCGCCTGCGCTCCTTCGCTACTTCAGCTCTAAGGGATCGGCCTCCTCCACCGGCGAGACGCACACGCCGCCGCCATCGGTGAAACCCAGTAACAGCGGCAGCGCTGGCGGCGATGGCAATGACAAGCCTGTGCTCTCACATTACTGGGGGATCGTCACCAAGAGGCCGGTTCGCGAGGATGGCAAGGCTTGGCCTTGGAATTCGTTCAGGGTAAACTAAGCTCTTCTTTTTGGGTTTTGGTTTTCTTTGCTTTGTGCTAGCTTGATGAATGGATGGATTCTTTTGTCTTTTTTTTTTCTTGCAGCCTTCCGATGCTTACACTCCAGATGTGAGCATTGATCTCAAAAAGCACCACACTCCACTGTCGTTCGTGGACAAGTTCGCCTACTGGACCGTGAAAGCGATGCGTTTGCCCACAGACATTTTCTTCCAGGCAAGATATCTTTCTTTCTTTCTTTCTATCTTTTGAATATGAATGAGCATGTTTATGTTGAATCCTTGCGAAGTTCCTGGGGATCAAACGAGTTTTTAGTTTGCTAGTCTTATAAACTTGGACTGATTTTATTTTTGCAGCGACGATACGGCTGCCGAGCGATGATGCTCGAGACTGTCGCTGCGGTCCCGGGGATGGTCGGGGGGATGCTGCTGCACTGCCGCTCGCTTCGCCGGTTCGAGCACAGCGGGGGTTGGATCAAAGCCCTGCTGGAGGAGGCCGAGAACGAGCGCATGCACCTCATGACTTTCATGGAGGTGGTGCAACCAAAGTGGTACGAGCGAGCGCTGGTGTTTGCGGTCCAGGGCGTCTTCTTCAACGCCTACATGGTGTGCTACATCGCCTTCCCCCGCCTCGCGCACCGCATCGTCGGCTACCTCGAGGAGGAGGCAATCCACTCGTACACCGAGTACATCAAAGAGATCGACAAGGGAAACATCCCAAACACGCCGGCGCCCGCCATCGCCATCGACTACTGGAGGCTGCCAAAGGACGCCAAGATCCGCGACGTTGTCCAAGTTGTCCGCGCCGACGAGGCTCACCACCGGGACGTGAACCACTTCGCAGCGGTAAGCCTCGGATGCAAGAAGAAGGGATGGGAATTCTAACGAGTTTGCTCACGCCCAGGATATTCATCTCAAAGGCAAGCAGCTGCGAGAGGCCCCCGCTCCTCTAGGATACCACTGAGGATCACTGGAGATCGCCATAGCCAAGTAAAACAAGGTCAGGACTTTGCTATCTTCTGCAAGCTCGTTTCATTTACTAGAAGTTTCGATTTGCTTTCAAGAGTGTTGCTTTCTCTGGAAACCATTTGCTCAAACGTTTTCTTCTTGACAGCGTTTGAGCAGAAAGGCTTCCACTGTCATGCCCGGTCCAAATGCCACAAGAGCTCCCCACCGGCATGGATCTTCGCCACCTTTCACCGCTCGTCTTCTCACCTCGTCAATCACAAAGAGGCACGCCGCGCAGGACATGTTTCCACACTCGGCAAGAACGTGTCTGCTCGCAGCAAGCTTGTGGCGATCGAGCTCCAAAGCTTGCTCGACAGCATCCAGGATCGCTGGTCCGCCCGGATGAACAGCCCAAAACAAATCGTTGTAGAACGGGAAGCCCGGAAGAACTCGAGACATAACTTGGGCAATGTTGGTGGATATGGCTCGAGGCACCTCCCGCGAGAGATCTACGTGCAAGCCGCTGGGCCGGAGTTTGATCGTGATGTGCTCGCTGGTGTCAGGGACTAGAACTTGAGCCGCGGAGGAGATCTCAAAGAGTGGTTTTTCCTGGAGCTCGAGAGAGAAGCTGGAGCCGACGATGACGGAGCTGGCTCCATCGCCGAAAAGAACCGTGCTGATCATCATCGACACGTCGCGGAGGTCCTCCTCGTTCTGCCGATCGATGTGCGGCGATGTGATATCACAGCATGCGACGAGGACACGCGCTCCCGGAGAGCTGTCCACGATGGTTTTAGCGATCCGGAGTGCCGTTCCTCCGGCGGCGCAGCCTTGGAAGGAGATGGCGAGCCTCTGGACGTCGTGGCGGAGATTGAGAAGCTTGGCGAGGTGGATGTCAGCTCCGGCCTCGCTAGTGTTGGAGGCGAAGACGGCTCAGGGCTGGTCGTCCCCACTCATCCAGAGCGTTTCGTGCAGCTCTGGCCGCTAGCTCTGGGACTCGCTCGTTCGCCACCGCGAAGCCCTTCTCCAGGGACCGGGAAGATGTTTCGTCTGGGTCGAAGCGCGGGAGCACGGAGAAGTGCTGCCTTTCGATGCCCGACTTCTCACCTTCGCGAAGAGACAGTGCGCTGGGATGAGCGAAACGAGCAGAAGAGTGAGTGGCAACTTACAAAGTTTTCGCATCTTTGGCTTGATGAGAGCTTGCCCGTGCTCCTCCGCCTCGCTGAAGTAGGAGTCGACGAAGTCTCTCTGCGAGCAAGCATCTGATGGGAGAGCGGTGCCGATGGAGAGGATAAGTGTGTCAACATTCTCTACGCATTATATTCTGTGAGAGAACTTTGTCCAGTGTGCTTGGGCTGACTTGCTTGATCTCACTGTGATGTCACTGATACAAACACTTCCAACGTAGTTATAACGGAAACTTCAGACGTATGATCCTAGAAAGAACTCCCAAGTTGCGATTGTGATGATCAAATGCGAGTACAACGTTTCAAGGTTATCACGAGATAAGCTAGGAAAGCTTTGATCGGAAACTCTCCACTTACTTTTGATAAATAGATTTTGACACCAGATCGCCATGTCTGCTCGTCACTCTTCACTGGATCATCACATTGCGAGAAGCTTTGATCACGGTCGAGACGAATCCATTCTTCTGGAGCTATATCTTGTCGCATGGATTCTCAGGCACCGGCCACCATCTTTCTCCTACTTTAAACACCAAACTTGAGCATGGAAGTCAAAAGTGGCAGCAAGGGAGCTTCCAATTTCCCTGTGACGCGGATGGACGGACTTTACACTCTCCAGTCGAGCTCCTTTTTCACTGCCACTACTCGGAGCTCGAGAGAAGCTCGAGGAACAACTGATCAGTGACTATAAGGATCATGGGACAAGCTCGTCTTCTGTTGCAAAGACGTACGCGTTCCCTGTATGGCTCGGGCCCGACGGCGGGACTGGAGTGTTCTTGGGCAGCATCTGCGAGAAGAAAGAGCCACCGCGATCGTCCCTGGGAGAGTCGAAAGAGAAGCGCTCGCCACCGCTGTGAAAATCCAGCTCCGAGGTTGGAGAAGCAGCAGCAGCAGCTTCTTCTCGGCGCGATCGATGAGAGTAGCTTGCAGAAGGAACTGTTGCTGTGTCGCTTGATTTTGGAGCACCGGGAGTGAAAGAACTCGGTAGACTTCTCGAATCTGTGTCACTGCTGCCTAAGTGCCTCCACTGAAAGCCAAATCTCCTCGCAGCACACTGTGAAGTCTTCCACTGGAATCCCATCAGTATCCACAAGCTCAAGACCACCAACACCGGCCGAAAGCTTCCTCTTGTCCTCCTGCTGCTAAATCCAAAAGCCATGCTCGCCGACGCCGACGATGATTTGAGCTGACAAGCGAGCATGGAAGTGGAGGGAGTTGCCGCTGCTGCTTGTCTCGAGAGCCTTGTCGTCATCTCTGGAGCCGGACCACAGGGAATAGATTCGATGACGAAGTGCGCGAATCGTGAGACTAGATAGTGGCTGCCCAGCATCGCGCATGGATTGAGGAGCACGCTGTTCTTCCGAGAGATAGTGAGAGAGCATTAACTCCTCCGTGTTTCCCTCCAGTCCTGCATGGAAACAAACCGAAGCAAGGCTCCAACAACACGTCAAGAAGAAAGGAAAAAGAAATGCGAGAAAGAGTAAGTTACTGCGGCAATGCTGACTCCGTGAGGAAATGCGAGGACAACAGTTGGTTTACCACTGTTTTGCGAAGACTTTCGAGCGCGGGGCCAATGGGGAGGCCTCCACAATCCATCGTGGGAAGGAAGAAGGCAGCGTTCCAAGCGAGAGTGGATCGAAAAAACCTGCGAGTCAATGGTGGCAGCAGCAGCAGCCACACAGACGCTAGATTCAAGGCCCGGAATTATTACAATAGTGCCACCTTTTGGAAGAAAAAAAGAAAAGAAAAACACGAGACAGGCTTTAGCTTCTCATCAACGAAACGCATCTCATCACTCACAGCGTTAAAAAGGAGTTTTTTGCGCGCTTTCTATCCATCGCTGTAAAAGTTTGAATGCACTGGGCAAAGATCAATGAGTAGAATAAGCAAGGAAGCGAAAGTTTTCTTACCGTGAAGAAGAACAAGGGAAAACTTTGGTTTCACGAGAGCCTGGCAAGCATCTTAACTTGCTCGCTCACTGCTGCCAGTTCCGCTTCTTTGTTGTCAAGTCGAGCTTGGAGCTTGTCATTCTCGAGCATGAGCTTTTGGACCTCGGCCTCTTTGTTTCGCTTTCCAGCTTCCAGGCCGCCAACACGAGCTGTTAGCCTGAAAAGCAAGATAGAAAACACTATTACAAAAAGAGAGGATTTTTTCTAGATATCCTTCACGCAAAGCTTCCTGTGAAAATCGATATGAAAAGAGGAACAAAAGGAGATGAGCTTTACCGCTCGGAGATTCTCTCCACTTCTTCGATGCGTCTCTCCATCGATCTTATGGTCTCGCGAGCTTTTACCAGGCTATCCACGCTCGATCTTAGAATCCCAAAGTCACGCCGGACTTTGGAGAGCTCCTGCTCGTTCTCGTTGGCACGGTGCCGCTGCCGCGACGTCTCCATCTCCATGTCCTCGAGCTTGACTTGCATCTCCTTTAGAATCCCGCTGGTTCCCACCGCCACCCTCTCCATCTCCTCCACGCGACACCACATCTCCTCGATCTGTATAGACTTCCTCGTCACCTCCTCCTCGCTCATCCTCGCCCGGACTTGCTCCACCTCCACCTCCGCCTCGGCTATGATTGCCCTCTTGAGCAAAGCTTCCATGGCGTCCGCGACCTGTGCCACCGCCACCGTCGTCCTCTGGACGTACTCCACCTCGCCTCGCTCGGACAAGCTTCGCAAGACGTTACTCTCGATGGCGGCCACGAGTTCGTCGCTCAATCCCCGCGCTCCTCCGGCACAATCGTTCTCGTCTGGATTCGTCGCTGCCCCTTTGAGCCAATCCGCCATTGGGACGCCCCTCTTGTCGACATAGCCGACGCCTTCTTTCTTCCGGATGCCGCACGAGGCGAAGGCGTACCTTGGAAGAGCCATGACTCTGGCCTTGGATTTGAGGTACGCGAGGAGCGTCTCCACTGTGGTGGCTCGATCCTGCAGCACTTGCAGTCCCTCCATTCCCGTGGCTTTGTTTTTCACCACTCCACCGATTCAACCGCTTACATTCTGTGGAATAAGTGTCTTTCTGCCCTAAAATGACTTGACCAATACCTGAAGCGAGAAAGGTGGCAGCTTCCCATTTGTAAGGATTTCGTGTGTACTTATCCTGAAAGCCTGGAGAAACATTGACTAGTGGAATATGGTCTCTAACCTTTATATTAGGCACTATTTGTATATTGATATTTTGTATGACCATATAAGTTATATAATTATATTATTCAATTTTTGGTGTGATATACCTAGAATTTTCTTGGATATTCTAGAATATTCTAATGGTTGTTATTCATTTAGATTAATTATAATTATAAACATGTTTATAATTTATTAAATTTCCTAAACACGTCCTAGTATATTCCAGTTTATTTTACCAGCTAATGGTGGATATTCAATAAGATTAATCTTGTATTTATAAATTATAAAATATTTATAATTATAAACCTCCATTTGATCAATTAAATTAATAAATAGAAATAACAATATTATTAAGCAAACCAAAAAACTAAATTAACACAAGTTGTGAAGATATTTCTTAAACTAAATATATATATGAACATTAAGTTTATATTATTATTTCCAGAAAATTTATAATAGTAATCATTCCTACTTAAAATAACTCTAAGATTTTCTTATTCAAAAACTTTTTAAAAAATATTTTCCAGGATTTATATTTTTTTTTCTGATACAGAATAGGAGACGTTTTGCCTCATGTTTTTCTCTTTGAAAGCTCATCTATATATTCTTGCACAATTTCTTTAAATAAACATTTATATTGAGTATCTTGTAAGGTTAACCATTTTGGGCTTCTTTGCAAAGTATACTTTTCAATTATTTCTATTTAATACAGAAAAAAGTTTTTTAAATAAAAAATATATTGTGAATGCATGGAATATGGAAAGGGAATACAAAAATTATACATATCAATTAGCCCAAAAACCCTAACTTATATACAGAAGCAAGTGGTCTAGATTGAAACTAATCCAATAGCTACCAAAATCCCACTACGCTAATATTAATATATGGCATTATTGTTGTACACTTGGCCCTCACATCATTCCCTCCTCTTGGAATAATGAAAGAGCATTAGGGTTCTCTTGTAGATGGGCCGGGATTGGGAAGAATGTCAGAAGGAGGCATTGGCGGATCTGTAGGTGGTATTAACTGCTCTTGATCCCTTGGTATGAAGCATTTTAACCATTGCACATGCACAATCTTTGGAGGATCGGTTTGTTAGACGTCATGCAGAACCTCATAAACTTGCAGTCCAACTTGCTATAACATCCAATACAATCCTTTCCACTGAGCAAGGAGCCCCTTAGATAAACCATGTACCGTAAGATGGGGAAAACAGATTAATACCAAGTCATCCACTTTGTATTCTGCAAGTGGACGATGGTAGGAGTTGTAGCACCGTTGTTGTCCCACTTGTACGCAGCTTAAGTGTTTAGCAGACTTTGCTCGGACAAGTGGAAGAATGCTTGTCAAATACTGATCTTACGACCTAGCATTGCCAGCTTGTGGCAATCGTGAAGGTAAACCCAGCTCCGTTGGTAATATTGGATCATGACCATATAAAAGTTTATATGGTGAAGCACCAACAGAACTTTGCACCCTTATGACATATGCATATCGAAAAAATGGCAAATAACTATCCCAATCCGAATGCTGAAAGTTCACGTACTTCGTAATCATTTCTTTGAATGTCCGAACAAGCCATTCCGCCAAACAGTTTGATTGTGGATAATAAACACTTGTGAAAGTGTGGTGTATCCCCAACCAAGACATTAAAACATAAAATGCTTCAGCCATAAATGTGGGACCATTATCTGAAAGAATCTGCTCTGGACAAGAATGTTGGAACACCACTCGATTGAGGAAGAAGTATCCAACAGTAGTTATAGAGGTGCTAGCAAGAGCACCAACTTCCACCCAATGAGTCAAGTAGTCAGAAGAAATAATAACATACTCATTGCTAGTAGTCGATCGTGGAAAAAGTTTCAAAAGATCAAATGCCACCAACTTAAAATGGATGGGAAATTGCAATTGACTCCAACCATCCTTCTGAGGCACGAGGGGAGTATTACAGGCTTGGCACCAAATGCAGGTACGCACATACTAGATAACATTATGTCACATCTCTAGCCAGTAGAAAGACCTGCGTAGCTTCTTGGTCACACGACGATATCCCATATGTCTGTATAGAATAGGAGAATTATCATAAGCATGGAGAAAATGTGGAATAAAGACAAGCCATAAAGGATCATCAGAATCCATCCCCACAAAATAAAGAAGGCCATTCTTAAGATGATATTGAGAATATAATGGCAAATCATCAGCAAGTGAGGCAGAACTCTCAAACCCATCTTAGCCTTTGAATCCACAACTCAATCTTTTGAGCCTTGCGAACCTCATCAATAGAAGGTAAATCTTGCTCTGCACCTTGTGGACACTAAACATCAAGTATAGAAACTGCTGACAACATAGAATCCTTGTTTAGAAAATCCACAGATGCTGGAATAATACGCTCATTAGAAACATGAGAAGAGAGCGAAGAAGGAAGAGGAGCTTGAGAAAGGGCGTCAACCTCAGCCATAGAACTCCCTTGGCGATGAACAACATCAAAATTATATATTTGAAGCTTCAAAACCCACTGAGCAGTACAACTAACCAGGTTCTTTCACTTCAATAATGAAGTAACGGCAGCATGATCAAGTAACATCCGAGAACGATGTAGATATGCATAAAGTTTTTCAAAACCCCAAATTGCTACTAAACACTCCTCTGTTATGGAATAATTCACCTCCGCTATATTCATGCCTAGGAAGGACCCACTAGTGCCGTGCTAAACAACTACAAACTAACCTATTTGCCACTCATAGCAAACCCAAGGAGGTTTGCTTTCACCCATGGTACATGGAACAACTTACAGAACCACAAGAACCATCAATCGGCTTACATTAATCCTGCCAACTCAAAGTATAATTTCGAGTTGCTAATGTGCCTCACTCACGAGCCCAAGCGCAAACTCGTGTAAACGGAACAACTCAATCCACCCTATGAGCCCAAGAGCAAGCTCACATAATATGGAGCAAAAAGGTAACCAAATTTCATACCCAAGGAACAATTGCGAAGCTTTTGCACCAAAACGTGTACCCACTCGGATCATTGTTTTCATCTCTGCGTATGCAACGAGACTAGTTGCCCAATCTCATTGAATAGTACTCGCTGAGACTCTGCTCTGATACAAAATGTAGCACACGTGGTTTTTAACCTTTATCCTATGGTGATTTACCATAGGATAACACCACGAAGCGGAACCTAAACCCTCTTTGTGCCACGTGTCACATGCCACGTGTCCATAGGAACCCGAGGTTCAGGGCCTTGGGCCGTTGAACGAAGGAACAGTGCCAAACTCCCAAGCGTGGAGCCAAGGAGTGATGGAACCGGACCACGGAGCAACTCCTGAGCATACAGCCCAAAGAGCAAAGGGACAGGGGCTCGGAGCGACTTGGAACAGTCTTGGAGCAACTAGCATCCTAATGCCAGGACCAGCATGTGAGACACAAAATCCCTAGGCCCCAAAGTGGAGCCGGAAGGGCGCCATGTGGTAGTGGCCAAAGCGAAAGCCAAACGAGCGTAACACGTTTGGACTAAAAGCTCTGACTGGAAAGGTCGAGAGCGGGAGTGGAACTCCCAGCAAAGTGCTCGAGGAATAAGCACGAAGCGAGCCATAAGCGAGGCTCTAAAAAGGGACCCGAAAGGACCAACACATGACACATGGAAGAGTCCGAGATGGACCCGAAGTGGAGTCCGATATGGAGTCCAAGATGGACCCAAAGTGGAGTCCGATATGGAGTCCGAGATGGACCCGAAGTGGAGTCCAATATGGAGTCCGAGATGGACCAAGATGGAGTCCGAGATGGACCCGAGATGGAGTCCGAGATGGAGTCCGAGATGGACTCGAGATGGACCCAAGATGGAGTCCGAGATGGACCCGAGATGGAGTCCGAGATGGAGTTCGAGAAGGACCCGAGATGGAGTCCGAGGTCGAGACCGAGACCGGGACCGAGACCGGGACCGAGACCGAGACCAGGACCAAGACCGAGACCGAGGCCAAGGCCTAGACCGAGCCCGAGCCCGAGTCCGAGTCCGAGTCCGAGTCCGAGTCCGAGTCCGAGTCCGAGAGGGTGAAAGCCCAAAGCGTTCGTCTCCCAGACCCTAGGGGGTTTGGTGAGCTCCAAAAGTATAGTAAGGGGGAGGACTGCAGTGGAGCCAGTTTGGCCAGGAAAGGCCAGTTTGGCCCAGGAAGGCCAGACCCTGTGTTGGGTGAGGAACTGACCACTGGGAAGTCCAAGACTAGAGTGAATACGGACCGACAAGCGGGGTAGCTTGGTGAAGTGTTCAAGAGCCGGCTCTAGTTCCCCCGGGAGATCGACTGGCCGATGCTCCCAGTCCAAGTGTGGGTGGCACTACCTACTTGGATACCAGGCGTGGCTCAACGGAACCTCGCTTTAAGCCCATGGCTAGAGCACCCAAGGGCGGAAGGCGGGGAGAGTACCCAGGTGGCTCGCGTAAGGCCACGGTGTTTCGAAATGTTGTCCCAAAGGCCCAGACTGTGGAAAGGAAGAGGAGCAGTCCTCTGGGGTAGTGACCAAAGACACAGTCATGTGGTGAGGAAGTCCCAGAGGACCATGGGACTTAGTGGTCGGGCCTGTGGGCCTCGATCCAGTGGCAGTGTTGGCAAACACGGCCAGGGGCAGAAAGGGACTTAGTGGGGACGGACAGAGGGATATTGGGGAAGGCTATTCCCCTTGTTGGTGGGCATCCTAAGGATGCTAAGGAGTGGATCTGAGACGGCCACTCACGGATGGTTTGCCTAGTCTTGGAGAGCCAAGACTGTGATGCAAGTGGTATTGGACTACCAGTGTGGCAAAGGTGATTGGGCATGGCCTTAGCGTAAT